AAGGTGCCACAAGTACTCCTTTTCTTTTTGCGAATACAGACTAACACAGCTGTTACTCTGAAACCTATAAATACCTCTGTATCCTTTGAGGAAGTGCTAATTTCTCTTAGCCACAATATTCAGAGTCCTAACCCAGATTCTCCCCAGGTTTGCACACAAACCCTGGATTACATGGCAGTTTCAGCGTTTCAGACAGGAAGTTAGTCCCCATAAAAATCATCCAATATAAAACATTTTAGTAGCCTTTCTTCAAGAGCATTCATTTTAGTAGGGAGGGATAGCTCAGTGGTTTGAGCATTGGCCTGCTAAACCTAGGGTTGTGAGTTCAATCCTTGAGGGGGCCATTTAAGGATCTGGGGCAAAAATTGGGGACTGGTCCTGCTTTGAGCAGGGGGTTAGACTAGATGACCTCCTGAGGTCCCTTCCAACTCTATTCTATTCTAGGATAGCAGTGGTGCTGCATGTCAGAACTGAAGGGCCATTTAAAAATAGTAAAGAATTTGGCAGAGGCTTGTAAATATCATCACTATATAATAGATGGTGAAACTGAGACACAGAGAAATGAAGTGACTTACCCCAGGTCACACCACAACTCAGATATGGGTTCTATTCTGGACTGTCTAGGAATCTATATGGCCCCATCACAATAGTAACCAAATGCCTCACAAAAGTTTAAAACAAAATAAACTCTCTTCTCCTCTCCAATCTCCACCTGTAGGGCAAAAAACCTTAAATAGTCAGACTTTTTAAAATTGTGTGGGTGTATTCTGTGTCTCTGCAAGAGTACATGAAGAACTTGCTACCAAAAAGCCAATTCAAAGACATTTGTTTTGCACTTCATTCCAAACACACTGAGGTAAGAGGTTATTCTGGTCTTATCTGGTAGTTAGTTCCATAAAGCACATTGAAGTGAGCTGTAGCTCACGAAAGCTCATGCTCAAATAAATTGGTTAGTCTCTAAGGTGCCACAAGTACTCCTTTTCTTTTTGCGAATACAGACTAACACGGCTGTTACTCTGAAACCTGTGAAAGTTCTGTTCACTACACAGGTCTTCCCCTATTGGTCAAAAGGGTAATGGTGTCAGTTAAATGTAGCTGTCATGGGAGGTACTGGTTATAAAGGGAGAAGTAATCTCTACGGTAGCAAAGACCAACCAAAAGGAGGGGTTTGCATTTCAAGACACAGACCTTAAGTTGCTCTCTATATTCAGTGTTCACCTCTCAGTCCTCTTGGAAGTACATATAAAACTCCCAATCACTGTGGTATATAAGAACAAAGAGGCCCCAATCCTGAACTTTGCTTGATTGAGATCGGGCAAAGTGACACAGAGCTGTTCTAACCTGCACTGGCTTGTAATGGCCTCCAATAAAACCATTATGTTAGTGACAGATTGCTAGAGCACAGCATATGCCCCCTGCCACCTCATGCTCCCTGTGCTGGGTGGTAGGAGCCAGAAGGAGATGGTATAGAGCCAACTAAACCAGCTTTACAGCCCTTGCAGATTCCCCAGTTTGCTACTCAGGCCAGTTCTTTAAAACTGCTTTGTGCTACTGGAGCAGTGCAAACCATCTTCGGCAAGGCTGAGAATCTGGGCCAGAATCTTTTCCTCTAACAGCTAGACAGTGCTTTCCCCAGAGATAAAAGTTAAAACCCCTTTACACTTGTTTTAGCTCTCTCTTGGTAAGGGAAGGATTCATTGCACTTATTTCTTCTTTAACTTTTCTGATGCTACATTAATGTTCTTGTATTTTTCAGAGATGTAAACAATAAACTGTTAGTGTTTTTAATCTTGAAGATCTCTTCATGTGGCATTGTTGGCATGTTGCCTTTGACATTACAACTTCAAAGCGAGCTAACATTATTTATTTTTTGTAGTGGCTCAATGCCAGATCTTAGAAAGAGATCTTTCCATTCATCCTCCAGTAATGTATTTACAGTCTGGAAATTAACTATTCCCCAGAATGAATGACCCTTCATGGATATTGTTTAAATAAATATCCTAGATGGTACCATCTTCTGAGCAGTCTAGCAAAAAATTATGTTTTTGTTTTGCTCCTTTCAAAAACACATTTTAAGACATATTCTTAATAGCTAAATAAAGTAACAAAGACAGTACTTTTTTTTTGTTTTTTTAAATTTTTATAAAAACTCATCCATTTGAAAATGGATATTGTCTGCTTAAAAATCCCATTTAAAAAAAACCATTTCCTTACAACACTTTAAATGATTAAAAGTGAATATTAAAATCTAGTTAGTTTTCACCATATTCTCACTTTGGTTTCCATTTCACTCCATTTGTACAGTAAAAATAGACTGAACAGTGTCATGAGAACATAGGAATTGCCATATGACATCAGATTACGTCTACTCTGATATCCTGTCTCCAACAGCAGCAAGCACCATAAGCACCCCCTTACCCACAGGGGGACTTTCCTCCTAACTCCCATCAGTTAGTGCCTTAAGCCTGGAAGAGTTTGTCTCTTACAATAAATATAAATGTAACTGTGGATGTTCTCATTATCCATACAAGTGTCTCATCCTTTTTTAAACCCTGTTAAGCTGTTGGCTTCAATGATGCCTAGTGGCAATTAGTTCCAAAGTTTTACTGTGCTTTGTGGGGGGGAGGGCGGAGTATTTCCTTTTAACGGTTTTAAGTTTGTTACCTTTAATTTCATTGAATGAACTCTTGTTCACATTCATTTTTGTTTATGGTCAGTTTCACATTTTGAATCTAGTGCACTAATCCAATACTGAAATATCTGCAGACGCTGCACAGGAATGTTTAAGTCACAATTAAAAAAACCCTCTATTTTTTAATATTCATACCAGGGGTTTCTTTTAACAACACTAGGCTTTGTAAAACTTTCAATAAAACAAATTCAGCATGCATATAGATCAAGGAAAGTTAAAGCACTACATTGTTAGGATCCATTTTCACAAGGGCCAGTCAAGAACAGGGCTCTACTGTCCTAGCTTACTGTACATACATAGAATAAGTGACAGTCCTTTCCCTAAAGAAATGAACATTTAAACAGACAAAGGACAGAGGAAAGGGATCAACCACACAAGTAGAGAGAATAATGTGATGGTTACAAACATCATATTAGTTCCACAACTTTTTTTTTTTTTTTTTTGGTGCTTTTGTTTTGGTAGTGTTCCTACAAGTCATATCCGAACAATGAATTAGACACATTCTGCTCTACCCATCCTTATCCAATTCTTTCTTCATTCAGTGGGCATGGTGGGAAGCATTAATATTAAGCATTCATGATTAAGACAACCAAATGGTTTCTAGTGGCCCTTGCAGAGATCAGGAAGCAAAGGAAGTCTTGGTTTATAATATTAACTGAACCATTGTCTCACTGTGTTAGCCAAGGAGAAATCATTTCAATTCTTTGTGCTTCAATCAAGCGGGCTAGAAACTAAGCTGACAGCCAGATGTTGCATCTGAGCTGAACTTTCCTGGGTACATTACAAAACAAAATGGTCTTCTCCATATGCACCCTTGAAATAAGTCATTTTTCTTTATCTGATGAATCTCAGATTGTTAAAATAATTCTTAGAGTTAGATTAAGTTGGAGAAAGAAAGACAGAATGATGCATTGTACTTCCAATGCTTACTGCTGGGATCCTGTCCCACCAAGGTGCAGAGTTCTGAGAGCATAGTGAAATGTACCCTGCTGCACCTCAAACTGCCATAGACTTGGTCAAGCCTGGACTGAAATGGAGGTTCCTAAAGGTAACACTGCTATTCTTAGCAACAACCTGCCTTTGCAGAAAATTTACAACAGGATGGGTAAGTGACCAGCAGGACTTTAAAATTCATGTTAGTGAGTCTCAGAGCTAAAGCTCTCCCCCCCCCCCCAACAGAACGCCAATCTAAAAATATAAAGGATTACTTCACCCTACTTCGCCCAGATATTGCAGCACATATAATATGCAACACATATGGTTCTGAGAGGTGCTGTTCATCACATTCGCCCAAGAATGTAAACTACTATATGGATGGAGCTAAGACTAGCCTTAAGACAGAGCTCGCTACTTTCAATCAGATATCTGAGATTGATGACGACACTGATTTAATATGTTTTGTTGTCACTAGTTTTTATTTACCAGCAGACTGTGAGGTTACTGCAAGCACACATAGCATCATGACTCTGTTAAATGCAAGTTGCATTGATTGGTCTGTAACTGCTGTGCTGGAAAAATAATTCAATTTGGAAGTTATTTAAGTTTCAATGTATTTTCATGCTGTTATATAAACACTCCTTATGTTTTATTAATAACACACTTTCATTCAGTCCCTGTATTTACAACAAGCCCTTACAGTAGTACCTCTCCAGACAGATCGCTCTTTGCCAATATATCTAATGGGACAAAAATCTTATTACAGGGTTTAAAAACGTAAAGGGATACATCAGCTTGAACTTGCTCAACTAAATCGCTGGGAGTGCTTGACAATGTTCTGCAGCTATAACAAGTCAGGAGCAGGGCAGGTATCTTATTTTCCAGTGTGCTCTTCTGATGCTAAATTGTAATCTGCTGCCTGATTCAGAAGTGCTATTTTTTTGCTCCAGAAGGGGCCCCTATTTGACTGGAACTAGTTTTGTCACAATGTAGATCCTTGAAGGAACAAGCAGCAGAAAAGTAGGGGAATCATAGAACTGGGACTTCGAGAGGTCATCTAGACCAGTCCCCTATACTTATTGCAGGACTAAGAGCAATAAGTGCATTCCTGACAGGTATTTGTCTAACCTGTTGTGATAAATGAAAGGAGGGGAGGGGGGGAGTAGCTCCCTTTTATAGACACACAGCCAGCCAGTAGCTATAAAATCCCTCTTAGTAGCTGTTCTCTAATTGCTCTACCTTTAAAGGGTTAAAAAGTCTCATAGGTAAAAGGAAGTGAGTGGGCACCTGGCCAAGAGAGCCAGTGGGAAGGCTAGAACTTTTTAAAATTGAAACAAGACTCCCATTTTGTCTGTCTGTGGTTGTTTTTCAGGGAGAAGCGGACAGGACAGACCTATGCTGTAAGAGCTTGGGCTAGGTATGAAAAAATCATCAGTATCATACCTAGAAACTACTCATTTAAAAATCCCAGATATGTAAGTAGATCAGGAAATGTCTAGGAAGATGCGATTAGGTTTATTCCTTTTATTTCGTTGTGGCTGGTGGATTCCTCTGTGCTAATCCCAGGTGCTTTTTGTTTTACTTGTAACCTTTAAAGAAAGCTATTCTTGATGCTTAATCCTTGTAGTGCTTTTTTGCCTAAGTTCCCTGATGTATATTTTTATTAATTAATAAAATTTACCATATTTAAGAACATAATTGGATTTTTGTGTCTTAAGAGGTTTGTGCACATGTTGTTTAATTAGCTGGTGGCAACAGCTGATTTATTTTTTTCCTCTTTTCTCAGCTATTCTCCAGAAGGGAGCGGGGGTGAAAGGACTTGAGGGTACCCCACAGGAATTCCCAAGTGAGCCTTCCTGGTCTCTCAAAGGGGTTCTGCACTTGGGTGGTGGCAGCATCTACCAATCCAAGGTCAGAGAAAAGCTGTAACTTTGGGAGTTTAATACAAGCCTGGAGTGGCAAGTATTAATTTTTAGAATCCTTGCAGGCCCCCACCTTCTGCACTCGAAGTGCCAAAGTGGGGAAATCAGCCTTGACACCTGTTCTTAACAATCCCCAATGACGGAGATTCCACAACCTCTCTAGGCAATTTATTCCAGTGCTTAACCACCCTGACAGTTAGGAAGTTTTTCCTAATGTCCAACCTAAACCTCCCTTGCTGCAATTTAAGCCCATTGCTTCTTGTCCTATCCTCAGAGGTTAAGAAAAACAATTTTTCCTTTCTCCTCCTTGTAACAACCTTTTACATACTTGAAAACTATTATCATGTCCTCTATCAGTCTTCTCTTTTCCAAACTAAACAAACCCAATTTTTTCAATCTTCCTCACAGGTCATGTTTTTTAGACCTTTAATCATTTTTGTTGCTCTTCGCTGGACTCTCTCCAATTTGTCCACATCCTTTCTGAAATGTGGTGCCCAGAACTGGACACAATACTCCAGTTGAGGCCTAATCAGCGCGGAGTAGAGCAGAAGAAATCCTTCTCGTGTCTTGCTTACAACACTCCTGCTAATACATCCCAGAAAGATGTTTGCTTTTTTTGCAACAGAGTTACACTGTTGACCTATAGTTACCTTGTGGTCCACTATGACCCGCAGATCCCTTTCCGCAGTACTCCTTCCTAGGCAGTCATTTCCCATTTTGTATGTGTGCAACTGATTGTCCCTTCCTAAATGGAGTACTTTACAGTTGTCCTTATTGAATTTCATCCTATTTACTTCAGACCATTTCTCCAGTTTGTCCAGATCATTTTGAATTTTGAACCTATCCTCCAAAGCACTTGCAACCCATCCCAGCTTGGGATCGTCTATAAACTTTATAAGCTTATAAACTTTATAAGTCTCCATTCATCTGAAGAAGTGGGTTTTTTACTCACGAAAGCTTATGCCCAAATAAATCTGTTAGTCTTTAAGGTGCCACCAGACTCCTCGTTGTTTTTGTGGCTACAGACTAACATGGCTACCCCCTGATACTTTATAAGTGTACTCTGTATGCCATTATCTAAATCACTGATGAAGATACTGAATAGAACCAGACCCAGGACTGATCCCTATGGGACCCCACTTGTTATGCTCTTCCAGCATGACTCTGAACCACTGATAACTACTCTCTGGGAATGGTTTTCCAATACCTGGGTCTCAGGAATTCAGAGGACCACCCAGGAGAAAAAGTGGGGGGAAAAAAACAAACCACAAATCAGTGAGCAGGGTTGAGTTTAATACATTACTATTATCTGACAACCTTCTAATTATAAAAGCAACAAAATTACAGGTGTATTTTTCAGTCTTAAGTAAAAACCAAAACCAAAAAACAACAGCACATGTGATTTTAAAAGTTATTATTGATGTGTTCCAAATGCAGAGTTACAAATTCAAACATTCGTATCCAAACATTAGTTGGCATTGTGCATCTGTGCTTAAAACACTGTACTTGTGGTTGTGCCCTTGATTATACCTCTGCAACCCCACTGAATCCAATAAAAGTCTGTGGGGCTACATGGAGTCAGAGGGCAAAATCTGACCTATCATCTCTGCACATGTATAACAGTGATCCAGGGATCAAGATCAAGCCTTGTCTTTGAAATATGTATACATTTCTCTATTTTCAAACATTTCTATTTGGGACAACATACACACAGCAGCTACTGGAGTATTTCTGCAGTGCCAGAGTTCAGTCAAACAGTTTTTGGCACAATCCACCAGGGTGGAAAATTTATTTGGAATTTGTCATGACTCTACAGTAATCAGTTTTATACCCAACAACACGAGCTGGATCGAGTAGGATTTTAATTTCCATTATCCCACTAATAAACTTCTGACTGTAACCCCAAAAAGAGCAAACGCATACAGTTTCTCACACCCACATAGAAAAGCGCCTCTATGGAATTACTCTAGTAAAATAGTCTGGCACAAAATACTATTGACACCCCCTTTATTTAGCAAACAATACAGACAAAAGTTTCCTCTCAGTTACATTACTTTCGCAATCCCCACAGACTCCACGAAGGACAGAATCTGGCTCCACATATACACAGGAGTGCATGCACATACACACACCAGGGTTTTTAATCAGGAATAGGGGTTTCACGAGTCATCTCCAACAGTTTTACCCCTACTCTATTTCCCAGGAAAATTCACTATTGTATAACATTTTCCAGTAGATCATCCAGTATTCAATTATTAATTTCTTGTCTTTCACATGCTACTTTTATACAACTTTATAACAAATTGCTGTCGTATACTCTTCAGTGTAATCCAGTTATGGGTGCTTTTAATTAACACAGCTACCTTTGCAAAAAGAAAAGGAGTACTTGTGGCACCTTAGAGACTAACCAATTTATTTGAGCATGAGCTTTCGTGAGCTACAGCTGTAGCTCACGAAAGCTTATGCTCAAATAAATTGGTTAGTCTCTAAGGTGCCACAAGTACTCCTTTTCTTTTTGGGAATACAGACTAACACGGCTGTTACTCTGAAACAGCTACCTTTAACTCTAATTTCAACATTCCAGCCATATAAGTAAACAAGATGTATTATATGGTCTCAACTCAGGAATATAACTTTACACAATTATGTCAGCTTGGGTTCAGTACTGCAAATCCCCCATATGTGACCTCCACTGATGCTCCAGGGAGTTCCATGCAGAAGGCTTGCAGGATTGGGTCCTTTAATTGCTAAACGTACACATTCCCTGATCCTTACAAAATAGTACAGTTCAGTCAATACAATTCAGTACACAAAAATCAATGTGAAATAATTTTGCTAAGATGTAGCCTGTGAGTGCCGAGGGCTGACACTTTTGGACACCTAAACAGTAATAACTAAAAACAAAAGTTACAAGTAAACAAAAAAGAATGCAATATGCATGTAAAAATCAGCAACAAAACCCAACCAAGATTCACCTAGAAAACCCCATAAACCAAAAATAAACTCCCCAAAGAACTGTTTTAAAGTCAGAGTTTAAGGCCAGAAAGGACCACCACATCTTGATCCTTACTTTAACTGTTAGGTTTTAATATATGAAAAGAAATATTAATAATCCACACTGCCATAGCTCCTTCCATCAGAATCTCAAAGCACTTTACAAAGACTAACGAAGTTTGCCTCAACATCACTCTGAAGTACATTAATATCTGCCTGCTACAAGTAGGAAAACTGAGGCATAGAGCCCAACACTATTGCATGATATTAAAGTAAAATTCAGACTCAAGTCAATAAGCGATCCCAAAACATTAACAGAAAATCTGAGGGAAAAGCTGAAAATAGAATCCAGGTCTCCCAAACCCAGAGTCCTGTGTCTAATACGGGTCATATTCTTCCAGGATCTTATTCTTTCTCCCCTGTGTTGGTAGTATCAATTCCAAAGCTTCCCAATAGATTCTATGCAAATTGGTATTAGTTGTGATTGCGTGCATGTATGCGTCCTCTGTATACAGTGTGATATTCATTTGCTAATTCTTTATGATGATTCCAAGCAGATCAGAGAGTGAGAACGTATTTCTCATTCACTGAATCTATAAACCTCTTCTTAGCCCACCGCCATTAGCAAACTAAGTCAGTAAAACCTGCTCATCCATTAGTAATCATTTATATAGCAGAATATGTAGCAATGTACAGGGTGTTTTGCAGAATTAATAACTTTTCATGCCATGTGGAGTTATAATCTAAGATTAGCAGGGAGAAGACAAGACATAGGACAACAGTTCAGCAAAGGAAAGGTGTGGAGAAATTATTGGTGAGAATAAGGAAAGGATTACTGGAAGACATTGGTTTACTTTAAGGAAACATTTGCAGGAGGGTGAAGATGAGGATGTGCCTGGGGGATTTAAAGTAATGGGATAGTTCCAAGCAGAAAGGGACAGAGAGAATAACAGTGTAAAGCTGGGAGTAAAAAGCAGGAATGTTTGTTGAAAAAAAAAGAATTGTGCCATGAAGAAAGGGATAGAATCTCCCTATGAAGAGCTGATTCTCAGTGAAGAAGGGAATCTTTGATGATAACATCGGAGGGAACAGATGGTAATCGTCACTTTCTGTTAGACACTGCAGCACCAGAAGGATGTGCCAAAGTAAATATGTAACAGGCACATATCTCCTTGCTATTTCATCTTTTTGGTTAGCAACAACTGAAGCGCTTACGTTATGCTAGATTTAAAAGCTGCATTTATAAATGTCATATCAGTATCCACAACAACATCAGAGTAATTACCACTAAGAGATGAGAAGAAGTAGAGAGGAAACAGTGTTCTCAATTAGAGTTTATTTTGGCACGTCCTTATAGTAATGAACCGTTTGAGAGCAAGCTCTGTCTCACATCAGTTTCGTGGGATGTGTTCAGAACACAGATGCAATGGCAGCCTTGCTGCATAAAGAAAAATGAGAAGTCTCATTTAAGTTTCTTCACACCAAGTTCAAATGAAAAAAAAAATCAAGTCTGCTGCAGACTAGAACAAAATTAAGGAAAAATTACTTGTAGTTATAAGAGATAGAACAAATAAATCACACTATTATTTATGCAAACATCCCATTCACATACATCATGGTGCTTTTAATTAATTTATTCAGAGAAAAAGAATTCAGGAATTATTCAGTACAAGTATTCAGAAAGGGAAGTATCTTCAGTATTAATCATGAGCAGACAAAAGCTCTTCAGAAAGTGGCATGGGACTCTATTTTCCAAGTGACTTTTCTCTGGGGGCACTGACAGTAATTGGAACTCTATTTGCTGTGTTCTGAGTATGCAAGTTAAAGGAGATTGTCCTTGTTCTGGATTTCTCTGTGTGTTGTTAGAGAAAAGCTTTCTCACAAGCTCTCTGGGACACAAGCTACTTAGCCTCAACTGTAAGGATAAGGTTTTACTTTCTGTCTGCCTGACAATGGAATTCTAATGTCCATCTGTAACATAAGAAATCCCTAATGAAGTATGTGTATGAGATAATCCATTAATTTTGCCTACAACGAAACATTAAGTTTCCTCTACCCCACATTTCATTGTATTACCTTTTGAGCCAAAAACTGCACCTTACTGAACAATACCATTACCCTAAGGCAAAATTTCCTGAGAACTCTGGTTTTTAGAAGTTAATTAGACCAACCTTTCTTAAAGTATGTATACTTACCAACTGCAATTAACTATGATGTAATGACTGTGTGTGTTTTACTGTGGAGTTATAACTTGCTTCACAGTCCTTCTCACACTAAGTTTTTGTGGCTACAAAGCTACTTAAAAGGATAATTACATGTCTATGGGCTTTGCGAAAAGTAATTTCTTTATACATGTATAATAACAATGAAAAGATTATACTACAGCATATACTTTTAAGAAAGGATTATAATTAGAGGAAATTCTTGGATGATATCATATGCATGCATTCTAAATTCTAATTATGGCAAAAAACATTTTTTGCATCTAATATAGGTAAAGGTTATGTTGGATTTTGGCTATTTAGGAGGACTTAACTTTTCTACCTACACTTCCCTGACTATATGATATCTGTAGGGGATTTTGACTGCAGCACCATATCCTCCCCAAGCTAGAAGAAACTAATGAATTCAGAACAAATTGATTTAAAAAACCCACGGTTTAAACAAGTTGAGGTACACAAATTTACACTGATGAAATTTACTTGGGTAAAACATCTAGTCAAGATGTATGAGCCCAACGCTACAGCCAGAAACTTTAGAAAACTTTAGTAATACCTGCTCAGACTTAGATTTCATCTGTGTCCTAGGGGCTATTTACTCACAGACTGATTGTCAAAGGCACAAATGGCAGTTAGGCATCTAACTTCCATTGATTTTTGATATGTTAGGTGCCTAATTGCTCTTTGTGCCTTTGAAAATCTCCTCATTTAGCCTCTCTTCCTCAGTTTCCCCATCGGTAAATAATATACAACACTGGTCTTCTTTGACAGGTTTTGTGAGGGTTAGTCAATGTTCAGAGAATGCTTTGAAAATGAAGAGTATTGTTACTGTAGCCAAGTAAGGAGAAAATAAGGGCATGATTCTGATAGCACAGCCTTGCGAGACCAGGTTCAATCCCCAAGTATTTATATCTAAAGACGCAATTTAACTGTCAGACAAAGGTATTCTAGTATAGTAATAAACCAGGCAAGGCATTTATGATATATTTAAGATCTCCAAATTATCTCACATGAAGATGACTGTAAAACAATCAATGAGATTAAAATAGAAAGGTCTGGTTTACTCATACATTCACTGTACAAAATGTAAATATAGCAGAATTGCTACCTAAATGTAGTACTAAAGCAAATGGTTTTAATTACAAACCAAATGCAATTTCATAGGTTAAACAAAAATGCCCTTACAAAGCTTTCAGACTGTGTAAAAATAAGCTTTTTTTTGTTCCCTTATACCATTTGCTTTCTACTATTACCTTCCAAGACCTTTGTATCAGATCATGTACTGTGATAATGATTTTTATGTAAGTTGAAATTGCAGCATTATCTTGGCCCCTCAGGACTCTGGGGGAAAAAAAAAAAGTGTTCCATTACACTGGTCTGAAGCAGAGAAAATGTTATGCCTCAATGGTTTGCCTCAATGGTTTGCTCTGAAATTGGGAGGGCGTATCTAGTGGGATCCCGTAGGGGTCAGTCCTGGATCTGGTACTATTCAATAGTTACATTAGTGACTTGGATAATGGAGTAGAGAGTACGTTTATAAAATCTGCAGACGACACCAAGGGAGAGGTTGCAAGCACTTTGGAGAACAGGTTTAAAATTCAAAATGACCTTGACAAATTGGCGAATTGGTCTGAATTCAACAAGATAAAATTCATATAAGACAAGTGCAAAGTACTTCACTTAGGAAGGAAAAATCAAACAGAGTTACAAAATGGGGAAAAACTGCCTATGTGGTCTTTTTGCTTAAAAGGATCTGGGGATTATAGTGGACCACAAACAGAATATGCGTTGTCAATGTGATACAGTTGCAAAAAAGGCTCATATGATTCTGAGGTGTATTAACAGGAGTGTTGTATGTAAGACGCAGGAGGTAACTGTCCCGCTCTACTCAGCACTAGTGAGGCCCCAGTTGGAGCACTATGTCCAATTTTGGGCACCACAATTCAGGAAAGATGTGGAAAAATTGGAGAGTCCACAGGAGAGCAACAAAAATGATAAAAGGTTTAGAAAACCTGACCTATGAGGATAGGTTAAAAAAATTAGGCCTGTTTAGTCTTGAGAAAAGAAGAGTGAGGGGGGACCTGATAACAGTCTTCCAGTATGTTAAGGGCTGTTATAAAGAGGATTGGCGATCAGTTGCTCAACATGTCCATTGAAGATCGGACAAAAAGTAATGAGCTTCATCTGCAGCAAGGGAGATTTAGGATAGATATTAGGAAAAACTTCCTAATTATAAGAGTAGTTAAGCACTGGAATAGGCTTCCAAAGGAGGACATGCTGGTCTAGGTTTACATGGTCCTGCTTCAGCACAGAGAAGCTGGCTTGATGACTTCTTGAGGCCCCTTTCAGCCCTACATTTCTATGATTCTGTACCAGGGTAGTATCCCCACAACAAGCTTTGTGTGCATGATTCCTGCTAGCCAACTAATTTCTAAATTAAAAATTAAAAAAATCTAAATTGGAATATACTGCACTAATCCTGACCAATGTAGCAAAATACTTACCTTTATAACTTGAAATATGAATCCATATGGTCTATAAAGAAAAACGTTTCAGTATCATTTCTGTCTCACTATAGTTCTGATTATTTCATCTCTTCTTCCTAATATAATATTCCCAAAAACATGAAATATATACAAATATTATAAAAAGGCAGTATTGTGGGCCTCCCATGCTGTTTTTAAAACAACAGATATCTGTTCACCAGCTACATCAAGACTGGATCGTACATTTAGCAAGGGTGAATCTGTTCCAACTGGATCCAAGTCTCCATTACATTTACCTTTTAAAGCGTCAGAGTTCTGTACTAAGCTTGTCTGCACTTGAAAGCTGTTGCAGGTTTTGCGTATCTGCATTAAGTGATCCAGAACAATGGCTGCACAAGCAGTCGGTCAACACCACATTGTAATCCCCAACTAAGCACCCTTTGGGATCGCTGCATGCACACAGTGTTGCACTGTTTCAAAACAAGCAGTCAGCATTCTGGGCAGACAGCCCCTGGTACACTGCTTCCCCACTAAACTCTACGCATTCTGGGACTGTTTTTGCGGCACACAGTTAAATACTGGAATAAATTCCAAAGGGAGGTTATAGAATCCCCATCCTTGGAGATTTTTAAGAACAGGTTAGACAAACACCCATCAGATATGATCTATTATCTAGGTGTACTTGGTCTTGTCTCAGTATGCAGGGATGGAGTAGATGACCTCTTGAGGTCCATTCCAGACCCACATTTCTATGGTTCTATGACTGTGAGATAATTACCAAAAGGCACTTGAATTCTGGGACTTGGGATCAAAATAAATAATTCCCACGATTCCTCACATTTCATTCCATCATCCATCTTGTAACGAGCCAGCGCTATTTTTAAAGCACTGTCAGGTAGCATGGAGGAAACATTGCTGAGCATTGTGATCATCACAGTGATTAATTCAAACAAGATACTGCAAATATGCTTCATATTGTGCAATGATTTCAAAGACAAGTAGATACAGGCCCCTGAGGAAGATGGAATCAAGAAGATACTAGTGCTTAATCTTTTCCTGCAGTGGCTTCAGCGAGTTAGCCACCACTTTTGAGCTCAGCCAACTAGATTAATAGTTTCCAAGGCCAGAAGGGACCAATGTGACCATGTAGTCTGACCTCCTGTATAGCACAGGCCATAGAACTTCCCCAAAACAATTCCTACAGCTTTTAGAAAAACATCCAATCTTGATTTAAAAATTGTTAGTGATGGAGAATCTACCATGACCCTTGGTAATTTGTTCCAATGGTTAATTACTCTCACAGTTAAAATTTTGCACCTTATTTCCAGTACTAGCACTGACTGATGGAACATGATTGGAATGCAGACCTGGGACGTCCAGCATTGGAAGCAGAACTTCAGGATGTCAAAGGCCACCTTCCTAGAAATCTGCAGAACACACCTATCTGGAAGCTCATCAACACGATTGCTACCAGTCAGTAGCGGCTCATTTTGGTATTGTTAGATCACCTCTCAGGGTTGTTGTAATGGAGGTGTGTGCGGTTATCAAGAAGGTGCTGTTCCCTCTGGTCATAAAGCTAGGCAATACACAGGATGTTATTCACGGATTTACTATTTGAGCCCCTGAATTATATTGGAGCCATTGATGGTATCCCTGTGCCTCTCCTTTGCCCCCAACATCAAGCCTCAGGGTTCATCAACAGAAAGGCATATTTCTTCATGGTGCTGCAGGGCTGGCTGAACATTATGGGAGGTTCACCAATATGAATGTGGGGTGGTCTGCAAAGGTTCATGATGCTGGGATCTTTAGAAACTCTGGCTTGTTTTCTGCAATGAACTTTTGTTTCTGTGAACCACTCTGGACCCTGATGGTACTGGCATTCCTCCTATGATTACCCTCTGTCTCCCTGGATTACGAAGCCTCTTACTGGATACTTGGATTGGATAAAGGACCTGTTTAACTAAATCCCAAGTGGCTGCAGAATGATAGTGCAACATACATTTGGAAGACTGACGGGTAGATGGAGGTACCTAATGTCCAAGCTGAAAGCTGATGAGCAATATCTGCATCATCAGATATTGATAGATGCTTGCTGTGTTTTGCACAACCTACGCGAGATCAAAGGAGATAGCTTTGCTGAGGAATAGAAGGAGGTCATGAGCAGAATTCCTGAAGTTTCTGAACACCAGAAAGGCAGCATCTACCAAATGCTGCAACTGGTCAGGGACTCAGAGCCAGGGATGCATTATGTTCCTACTCTGAGGCCAAGACAAACTTGTGAACAATGTATATACCTTTGAGTAAGGCTTTTATCATGATGAGTACACGTGTCTTAACACTTATATCTACTGGTAGATGGAGTTTAGTACACTGCAGGTGGGGATTTTATTGAATCACATAAGGCTCTTATGAAATTTTCAAACAAAGAATGTCATGATATTTTCAATTAATGATTAATAAAAAAAATACATCAGGTTAAACATTGTGAATAGCAAAAGAAAAAAACTTTATTGAACAAACATAACATGATGCAAAGTTAAAAGTCCAGTGCAAAGCAATATGATCCAGTTCATCACAATAGCTGCCAAACCATACGAGTTCAACCAGGCCCCTTATTATTGACCCTGACATTATTAAATCACAGCTAGAGCTCCTTTCCCTTGTGGCAGCATCAGATCAGGTTCTCGAAGTGCCCCCTCTCCTTTGTTTGTTCTGATAGACACTTGCAGACATGTGCATTATGGAGACTGCTCTTAGATAGGCTGGGATTCGCACCTCTCCCAGAGGACAACGAAGTCCAGAACCTTGGACAATGAAGTCCAGGACCTCAGCCCAGACCAAACAGAAGCAAGAGGCATGGCTGCTAAATAATCATTTCCATGAGCTGGAACCATGAACAGCCACACATGGCTGCATGCCACCGTTTAAACAGGGAGGTGACAGTCACGTCAAGATGATTCCAGAACAGTAGAGGGCACACAGGTAAATAGATAAGCTGACCCAGGTAGCCAGCAAAGCAGCATGGGATACTAACAGGACTGCCAAATATAAAACAGTTGTTTCAGGATGGGAACACAGCCACACCTACTTTGTTCTGGGTAAACTCATCCTACACCTCAGTATACACACTTCCAAAGGGAGTGTATTAATATGGCTTAAAACATCAAATGATTTGCAACAAAAAATTGTGTGCGTGTGGACGCAAAGCACTTTATCACAAAATAGTTCAAGTTAACCCACAACAACTTAATTTAGACAAACTATTACACACTAAGAAAAAAATACAGTGATTTGCTTTTTGAATGTTCAGGAGCAGCATGGGACAGAAGCTGCCTTTACCAGTTCTACCCTACACCCGAAAATCCACTCCAAGGAAGGGAGTGGTGTTATTGAAAAGAGGCTTATAGTTTAAAGGGCTTGGTTTACATGTCTGTAGATGAATACTTCCTGACCCAGCATAAATACCTACACAACCGCCTCACACACAAATTATTCCTATTTTGGGCCTGAATAATGTTTGTTAGGGAAGGGAGGTATGCAAATCAAAATATGGCTGCATACATTAACACTGCCTTTGTAGCCAAACAGAGTATAATTCCAGAAAGTATCCCATGAAGAGTGATCTCGTTTCATAGGCTCAACTGCATGAAAGTATGGGAGGAAAGAATGGCCTATTTCACAACCACTAAACAAAACAACATCCCTGATTAGGATTATGGTTTAATTGGATGCCAACAGCAGCAGGGTCAAAATGAAAGCTGAGTTCCAATAAACTTAGCCAGACTTGAGGACTCTGTCTTATCCTTTTCAGTTTGTTCAGTTATGCGATAAAATATGGTCATTAGACCTTAAAAGATTTTCTTCCCTCACCCCGATATGCTTGCTCAGCAAGGGATATTTTGTTTGAATGGGTACCCATCACAGATTTCAGCATTGGCAAGTGGCCCATGAGACAAAAAGTTCAACATCATATCCCCATTTAGAGTCTATTTAAAAAAACAACCACTCTGCCATCCCCCACTTCAGAGACTATGTGTTGTGAAGCACCCTGCAAAGGATTCTAGCTTTTTTATTCTGTCTGAACCAAAAAATGTGGACAAAACTTTAGTGGATGCCAAATAACTGTTACAAATAAAACAAACAAGCAATAATAAAATGCTATCAGGAATACACATAGCTTGGGTGGAACATGCAATTAGGCAAGTGAGATCATACTTAGAAAGACTGCCTGGGAACTGTAGTTCCCATTCCATCTGCTTAGAAAGTCTGCTTAGGGGAAACTTCCTGTTCCTGCTACCTGAGACCACACTAAGGCCTCATCTACACTACACAGTTTTGTCGACAAAAGTCTGCTTTCATCAATAAAACAGTGGAGGTATACACACAACAATGCTCCTCCCACTGATTTAACTCTCCTGCTACGCAAACAAAATAAAAACCACTTTGACAAGAGGCATAGAGCTTTTTGCAGCAAAGTTAGATTGATGCAGTGTCAATGTACACACTGTGCTTGGTTATGTCACCATAAATGGCCTCCACGAGGTGTCCCACAATGCCCATCCTGACTGCTTTGGTCAGCCATTTGAACTTCCCTGCCCTGCACCCAGGTTCACAGGCCTCTGCCCTCTCCCTTTAAAGGACCAAAAATTTTTGAAATTGCACTTCTGGTTTGCTTGGCATGGACTGCTCACATGGCATCTTTCCAGCTGACCATGGTGGCTCCATGCACTAAACAATTTCCTGTGTGGAGTACATCGGAGTTGTTGGATCTGCTGGCTCTGTGGGGAGAAGAGGCTGTGCAGTTCCAGCTCCACTCCAGGCATAGGAATTTCGATATCTATGGTCGGATTTCTCGTGGCATGTTGGATAAGGGCTATCAATGGGACACACATCAATGCGGTGTGAAGATCAAGGAGCTGAGGCAGGCATACCAAGAGGCAAGGGAGTCAAACCAAAAGACCTGACATTTCTATAAGGAGCTGGATGCCATCCTCGGCGGTGACCCCACCTCCACGAGCCCCATGGATATTTCAAGCGGGGAGGCCTGGAGACAGGGGCCAGTGGACTGAACCCCAAGGATGAAGTAGTGAACAAGATGGGACAGGTGACAGGGTAGTCCAGTACCACGACGAGCCAGGACCTCTTCTCAACCCCGGAGCATTCAAGCCAGTCACAGCTCTCCACCTGTGGCGTGCATGATGCAGGGGAGGGGAGCTCTGGTTAGTGCTCATTTTGAGTTGATACTGCTTGGTTATATGAGGTAGAGCTGTCCTTTGCTTTGTTATATGCTAGAAGTGGGTTAAGAGATAGAAATGTACAAGATTAGCTGTGTTTGCCTCTGCTTCACTTTCCCTATGAAACTAAACAGTGGGGCCCTGTGGAAAAGTGTGTTAATGCACACCGAGATTTCACAGGAATCCTCCAGAGAGATCTCTAGGAAACTTTCATGGAGATACTCAACAATCCTCTGTGGAAGGTTTCTTGGCAGAGCTGCTTTGTTCCTTCCCCCGCTGTAGGAAACTTTCCCATGTCAATCAGCAATCACTGGTGCAAGGACCAAAGCAGCACATAGGAGAGCAGCAGAGGGACCCAGTCTGAAGTCGCATGTATGCAGGAAATGCATCTTTCACTTCTGAGGGTAAGCAAGTATTCAGATATCGGCTTCAATGACCCCCGTCTATGGAAAATGGTGGCAGTCACAATATTGTCCCTAGTCACTTGCAGTGATCCCCTTAAAAAACCACCTTGATCCTTTGCCTCATTTTGAACGCCCTCTTACACTCCACTTCCCTCACGCCCAAGCCAAACTCACCATGTTTAAGGCATTCGCTGAGCTATGTGCTTGCCAAGGGACAGTGAGAAAGAGGTATTTTACTATTATGATTCAATGCTGTGAGTTCACTATCATGCCTCTGTTTATTGTTTCTTTTGTTTCTGCAGATGTGGCCTTGAGAAGAACCCCCTAGACACTGGTGGAGTGCCTCTGCCAGATAAGGAAATGACCTTATGGGGGAGCAAATGTTTTGAGAGGTGCTCCAATCCTTTGACGCTGCAGAACAAGAACACAGGGCATGGAGAGACACAATCAATGAAAAATTAAAAACAGATAGCCAAGAGAGGAAGCAGGGTGAGGAGAGAATTTTAGAGGACCAGGAGTGGATGATAAAAGTGATGGAGAGCAAACAGAGATACTGAAGCCCCTAATCGTCCTGCAGGCAGAATATATGTGAGCTCACTCCCTCCTGCAGCCCATACAGAACTGCTAGCTATGTCCTCCCCAAACTCCACCCACACATTCCTTGCATCTTCCCAGATTGTCGTATTCCCCATTCACTCCACTTCTTTGGACAGGTTCCCCACTGATAGCTGGACTTAGGGCTTGGCTACACTTGCGAGTTAGAGCGCATTAAAGCAGCCCCGGGGACCCTAGCTCACTCCCCGTCCACACTGGCAAGGCACATAGAATGCTCTGACTCCATGGCTAGAGCGCTCCGGGTACTCCACCTCATCGAGAAGATTAACGCTTGTTGCGTAGTGGCTGAAACGCCCGGACATCAGTGTGAACGAGGTGTTGCCTTACTGCACTCTGATCAGCCTCTGGAAACGTCCCATAATCCCCTTAAGTCAAATGGCCACTCTTTTCATTGTTTTGAACTCGCTTAGGAATGCAGATATGCCCTCTGAAAGCTCTGTTTCTGACAGCCGGCTCTGAGACAAAGCAAGCCATTACTGTGGAATGCTGTGTGTCTGAGAGAAAGACGGGGAGGAGGGAGAGGTCTGCTGCTGTCTGAACTTACAAGACAGCACGCTGACATGCTTTCAGCCCCCCCCAAAAACCCACTCTCTCTCCCCCCACATATACACAACACACTCCCTGTCACTCCACCCCACCCCATTTGAAAAGCACGTTGCAGTCAATTGCATGCTGGGATTGCTGCCCATAATGCATAGCTCCCAATGCCACTGCAAGTGCTGCAAATGTGGCCACACCAGTGTGCTTGAAGCTGTCAGTGTGGACAGATTGCAGCGCTTTCTCTACTGCGCTCTGTGAAGACTGGTTTAACTCAACGCGCTCTACATCTGCAAGTGTAGCCATACCCTTAGACACAGCTATGAGAGCCTCCAACAAGAGAGTGCTCCTCTTACTGTTATGTCCCTATCAAGAAAGCGTTTTTTTGTGTATTGGTTATTGCTAATTAATAAAAATGTACTCTCTGAAAGAAAATAAATCTTTATCTCCTACACATGGTGGTTGCTGCTGGAATTCATACACAGTGGCAATTTGCACATTTGCAGACAACAAATCACGTTCAGGAAGCAATCATCAAAATTTTAATTCAAGGTGGCAAGTTAACAAAGCACTGCAAAATGCTTTATAGGAAAACACGTTACTGGTGCTCATTATCAGAATGGTGCCTCATAGCCCCCCTTGTGCCCTCTAATAGCCCTTCTTTCTGGCTGCTCAAAATCAGCCACCAAGCAATCCGCCTCCTCACTCCACCCCTGGGGAAACTTTTCACCCGTAGCCTCACAAATATTATGCAGTGCACACCAGGCTGCTACAACCATGGGAATATTTTTCTCATTGCGATCCTCCTGCCATAAAGGCAGCGCCAGCGAGCTTTTAATCTGCCAAACACACATTCAATGGTCATTCTGCACCTGCTCAGCCTATTGTTGAAGCGCTCCTTGCTGCTGTCCAGGTCTCCCATGTAAGGCTTCATCAGCTATGGCAGTAAGGGATATGCTGGGTCTTCCAAGATCACTTTAGGCATGTCAACATCCCTGTCAAGGTTCCTTCCCCACTCTGAACTCTAGGATACAGATGTGGGAACCTGCATGAAAAACCCCCTAAGCTTATTTTTACCAGTTTAGGTTAAACTTCCCCAAGGTACAAACTATTTTACCTTACTGCCCTTGGACTTTATTGCTGCCACCACCAAGCGTCTAACAAATATATAACAGGGAAAGAGCCCGCTTGGAAACGTCTTTCCCCCCAAAATCCTCCCAAGCCCTACACCCCCTTTCCTGGGGAAGGCTTGATAAAAATCCTCACCAATTTACATAGGCGAACACAGACCCAAACCCTTGGATCTTAAGAACAATGAAAAAGCAATCAGGTTCTTAAAAGAAGAATTTTAATTGAAGAAAAAATAAAAGAATCACCTCTGTAAAATCAGGATGGTAAATACCTTACAGGGTAAGCAGATTCAAAACACAGAGAATCCCTCTAGGCAAAACCTTAAGTTACAAAAAGACACAAAAACAGGAATATACATTCCATTCAGCACAGCTTATTTTCTCAGTCATTTAAACAAAACAGAATCTAACGCATATCTAACTAGATTACTTACTAAGTTCTAAGACTCCATTCCTTTTCTGTTCCCGGCAAAAGCATCACACAGATAGAGAGAACCTTTGTTTTCCCCGCCCTTCAACTTTGAAAGTATCTTGTCTCCTCATTGGTCATTTTGGTCAGGTGCCAGCGAGGTTATCCTAGCTTCTTAACCCTTTACAGATGAAAGGGTTTTTCCTCTGGCCAGGAGGGATTTTAAAAGTGTTTACCCTTCCCTTTATATTTATGATAATCCCCCATTGGAATCTTCTGGTCTGGAAAGAAAATTCCTGCTTGCAGCTTTCTGTATAGGCCAGTGTTCCTGAAGATGCATGCACCATGCACTATCCCTGACCACCCCACATTGATATCAGTGAAATGACTTTGGTGATCCACAAGCACCTGCAATACCATAGAGAAGTACCTCTTTCTACTTATGTTCTCTATCGCAAGATGGTCCAGGTCCAAAATTGGGATATGGTTATCATCTATCACCTTGCTGCAGTTAAGGAATCTCATTGCCACAAAGCCACCCACTATTTCACGTACATTTCACAGTCCTTCATAGAAGGATGCAATTAATGGCCTTGAACACTTGTGTGAACACAACCCCCACACTGGACTTTCCAACTTCAAACTGATTCGCAACTGACCAGAAGCAGTCTGGAATTACTAACTTCCACACACCTACTGCCATGCACTTCTCCACTGAGAGGGCAGCTCTCATTCTGGTGTCCTTGCGCAACAGGGCAGGGCGGGGAGAGCTCAGCACACAGTTCCAGGAAGGTGGCTATGCATTTCCAAAAGTTCTGCAGCCACTGCTCATCATCCCAAATCTGCTAACAATGTGATCCCACTACCCTGTGCTTGTTTCGTGAGCCCAAAAGCGATGGTCCACCATCTGCAATTACTCCATGAATGCCAAATTTAATCTGGAATTGTTTCTTTCCATGGCACACAGCAGGAAAGGCACCATGGATTCCTGTTCAAATTCGAAGCTCATTAAATACTGTATGATCCGCCACGGTGTGTTCATAACATTGATCACAAAACTAGAGAGCAGTGCAGGAGGATCCATGCTTTCAGGCAGAGATGGAGGGCACACAGTTTACAGGGGCTGTTAATAAACAGCGCAAAACATAGTCGGAAATCCATGGAATGATGGGACAGAAAAAACTGCGCTATGGGATGTTGAGCCCACACCCATGATGCACTGCAATCCACTCCCCATTCTCACAACTCCTAGCTGCAGAAGGTGGCAAGTTGCACAGTGGGATAGCTACCAACAATGCACTGCTCTCTCTGTCAGTGCTAGAGCACAAACTGTGGATGAGCTCTGCCAACACAATGAGTGTTGTGTCAACATGCACAAGCAATGTCATTATAGCAGGTTATGATCATTGGTGTAATTTATGTCGACTTAACTATGTAGCTTAGACATAGCCTCAAACAATCTCTACCTCAACCATTTACATTATCATCATCTTCACTGGCAATTGAAAAAAAGTGCACCCCTCCCCCCAAATGGCAAGCAGATCTTAAGGCCGCCTAGCTTGACTTAAACTGCACACCCTCTATTTTGACTCTTTTGCGGGGCGGGGGCGGGGGGGAGGAATGGAGATAGTGGGACTAGTGTAGTAGCAAAAGTTTAGCACTGTAGTGGGGGCTGGAGGTGGAACAACAAACCACCACATCTGGTCCTTCCCTCTCTATATAATTAATTTATAATTCAAATCAAGGCTGAAAACAATGCTTTTCCTTCATACCTAGGGTGAACTTTTCTGGGAGGTTCTTCATCCTAGGCTAAAGAGGATTAAATCACACATAACAAAAATGTTTTAAAATATTTTAGATTCCTATTCCTAGTGTTGGATGACTTGGGACTGTGGACCGCTAATAAAACTAATTCAGGGTAACCATTCTGCTAAAGTCATTACCAAGCTCTGATTTCTCTGTTCTCCTGTTTGGATCCAGAGCCCTTTTCTGCACAGAGACAGCAACAGAATCTTAAGACTCCACTCTCACTTACTAAAGGGCTAGTAAATAGTGAAGAAAAAAGTTAACCAAGCTTTTTGGGAGGCTCATATTCAAGTGGCAAACCTCCAGTAATACTAAGCAAGGCCCTTTTGTAACTTAATCTACACACAATACACAAAAGAAATAGGATTAATCTCAATTAAAATACTGTACTTTGCTACTTACTGCTCTCTCAGTGTGCTCAAGTAATTCTCATCAAGGGCTAGAAGAAACTGGATTCAGCTTGGATCTTTTTCTTTGTCACCCTCAAAACAAAAAACAGAACAGAAGAGAAAGTAAAAGAAAATCTGGAAAACCATTTGTTTTTCCATTGTGAGGAGGGTGGCTAGTGGTAGTGAAGTACCAAATCTTAAACCCTGGAAGTTTCCAATGAAGCTGCTCACACATGCATATATCTGAGAGCTAAAATTGGTCTTTAATACCCATGAATGGGAGTACGATTACAAGATGTCACTCTTAAAAAAAAAAAAAAAGAAAAAAGAAAATGTTTACAAAACTTGAGACTAACATAAACATCATCATCAGATCTTTCTCTAGATATCAGTCTTCAGTGGAAACAGTTTAACGCATTCCTCTGCGGTATTCACAACCAAAACACTGAATGTTGTGCTAAATGCATAAAAACATGGAAGTGCTGTTGACTAGAAAATAGAATAAACAAAAGTGAGAGCGATCCCTCTTTTTTCAGTGTCCAAACTGACAAAATAGGGAAGAAGTAAACTAAATGTTTAAAACTATTTGTTTTAATGACTGTAAGTAGCAAGAGCAGAGTGCAGCTTGATAACCATTATGCTCAGAGCTCATTGGAAAACAGATTTTCCACCCCACAAAAAAATTCAAAAAAACTCAAACCCATCACGAATCAGGACAAAAAGGCGAAGTTTCAAAAAAATTTCACATAATTAAAAGGCCAACATTTTAATGTCAGTCTAAACATTTCGTTCTGACAAATCTGAAATGTTGTTTCAGCTTCAACCCTTTGTAATTTTTACATAAAGTAAATTTCTAAACAAAGTGTCATTTCAAAACAAAAACATCAAAACTGGTTTTTGTTCCAAAAACATCGAAATGGGACATTTCTACATCTTAAAAGTCGTATTCAAAATGTTTTTTTAAAAAAAATATGTAGAAATCAATACAATTTTGGGGGGGAAAAATCCCGTTTCATTTTTGACTCGCCCTTTTTGACTTTGCCCGTTTTAACACGAAACGGACACTGACACTCACACCCCCGTAAGACAGAGTTACTGGTAACAGCTTTGAAGAGTCATGTTTTTATTTTAATGGTATTACAGTATTTTTTACCTCCTAAACCCCCCCCCCCCCCCCCAATAACCACCCACAGGGCACTTCGAGACGCGCCGCAGGCTGAAGTCAGAGCGCGCGTGTGCCCAGATTCCCAGCCGAGCGCAGCAGCAGGTCCCAGCCCCGGCCCGCTCCCCTCGCGGCGCGGGGAGGCGAGCTCGCCCCGGGTCGGAGCGCTGGGCCGGCAGCTCTCTCCCGCGGGGGCGAGGCAGGACACCCCCGCTCAGCGCGCCGGGGCTAAGGGCTCGCCGTCCTCGTGCCAGCAGGGGCAGGAGCCTCGCGGCGGGAATCGACCTCCCGCTAAAGCGACCCCAGAGGCTGCAGGTACCTGCGGGCCTGGCGGGGGCGGATCCGCTCCTGCCTCCGTCGCGCGGGCCTGGGCCTGCGAGCTGTGCGCCGCTCCGCCGGGGACATGTGACCCGCTCGCTGGGGAGAGGAGAGGAGAGGAGAGGGCGGGTCATGTGCCCCGGAGGCGGGGGGAGTCGGGGCACCCAGAGCAGCCGCCCTGAGGGGGCGAAGGGAACCGGCTTCCCCGCCTCAGCGGCCCGGCCCTGCCCCCCGCCGACAGGCTGGGAGTGGAGGCCCCCCTGGGGTCCGTGCCCGCCACAGCACCTGCCCCTGGGAGCAGAGCCCGCCCCTCCTGGGCCTGCCGTGCCTCGCGGGAGTCGGACCCGGAGTGATGGGAGGGAGGACACGGCGCGTGGGGGAGAAGCTCCCAGTGCCCGGGGTGGGGGTTGAGTGGAGGGGAGTGAGCCCCCACATGCTGCAAGGAGAGACCCCTTAGAAATGTAAATAACAACAACGCCAAGTCCAAAACAAGCCCCTGCAAGGCTCCAGGGAAGAGCAGTTTGTTTTCTCCAGTGGGATTGCTGGTCAGGCCTGGGCCCGAAAACAGGGACTCCAGCCCTCATTGCAATAGCCCCCGGTTCTTACCTAGGGCTTTTCAACAGCAGAGCTTAAAGCTCTTCACAGCAGTGCATTCATCCTCCCAGCACTGAGGGAGGGGAAAAACAAAAGGAGTACTTGTGGCACCTTAGAGACTAACCAATTTATTTGAGCATGAGCTTTCGTGAGCTACAGCTCACTTCATCGGATGCATACCGTGGAAACTGCAGTAGACATTATATACACACAGAGACCATGAAACAATACCCCCTCCCACCCCACTGTCCTGCTGGTAATAGCTTATCTAAAGTGATCATCAAGTTAGGCCATTTCCAGCACAAATCCAGGTTTTCTCACCCCCCACCCCCATACACACACAAACTCACTCTCCTGCTGGTAATAGCCCATCCAAAGTGACCACTCTCTTCACAATGTGTATGATAATCAAGGTGGGCCATTTCCTGCACAAATCCAGGTTCTCTCACCCCCCTCCAAAAACCACACACACAAACTCAATCTCCTGCTGGTAATAGCTTATCCAAAGTGACCACTCTCCCTACAATGTGCATGATAATCAAGGTGGGCCATTTCCAGCATAAATCCAGGTTTTCTCACCCCCCCACTACTATACACACACAAACTCACTCTCCTGCTGGTAATAGCTCATCCAAAGTGACCACTCTCCCTACAATGTGCATGGGTCTCAAAGAAACTGCGGAATCACCTGATCAACATCCTCTACAGCAAACAGGGAAAGATTAAGAATGAGCTCTCAAAAATGGATACTCTCATAAAAAACCAACCTTCCACACAAACTTCCTCGTGGCTGGATTTTACTAAAACTAGACAAGCAATTTACCATGCACACTTTGCTTCTCTACAAAAGAAAAAGGACACTAAACTTTCTAAACTACTACATGCTACAAGGGGCCACAGCAATGGTTCCCTCAACCCACCCAGCAATATTGTTAACCTATCCAACTATACTCTCAGCCCAGCAGAAGCAGCTGTCCTATCTCGGGGCCTCTCCTTCTGCCCCTCCAACCCCATGAACATGGTACAGTTCTGTGGTGACCTAGAATCCTATTTTCGACGTCTCCGACTCAAGGAATATTTCCAAAATATTGGAACAACTCTGAACAACATACTAATCCACAGAGGCCTCCCTACCAACACTACAAAAAGAAAGATTCTAGGTGGAGTCCTCATGAAGGTCGAAACAGCAGACTGGACTTCTACATAGAGTGCTTCCGCTGACGTGCACGGGCTGAAATTGTGGAAAAGCAGCATCACTTACCCCATAACCTGAGCCGTGCGGAACACAATGCCATCCACAGCCTCAGAAACAACTCTGACATCATAATCAAAAAGGCTGACAAAGGAGGTGCTGTTGTCATCATGAATAGGTCGGAATATGAACAAGAGGCTGCTCGGCAGCTCTCCAACACCACTTTCTACAAGACATTACCCTATGATCCCACTGAGAGTTACCAAAAGCAACTACAGCATTTGCTCAAGAAACTTCCTGAAAAAGCACAAGATCAAATCCACACAGACACACCCCTGGAACCCCGACCTGGGATATTCTATCTACTACCCAAGATCCATAAACCTGGAAATCCTGGGCACCCCATCATCTCAGGCATTGGCACCCTGACAGCAGGATTGTCTGGCTATGAAGACTCCCTCCTCAGGCCCTACTCTACCAGCACTCCCAGCTACCTTCGAGACACCACTGACTTCCTGAGGAACCTACAATCCATCGGTGATCTTCCAGAAAACACCATGCTGGCCACTATGGATGTAGAAGCCCTCTACACCAACATTCCACACAAAGATGGACTACAAGACGTCAAGAACACTATCCCCGATAATGTCACGGCAAACCTGGTGGCTGAACTTTGTGACTTTGTCCTTACCCATAACTATTTTACATTTGGGAACAATGTATACCTTCAGATCAGCGGCACTGCTATGGGTACCCGCATGGCCCCACAGTATGCCAACATTTTTATGGCTGATTTAGAACAACGCTTCCTCAGCTCTTGTCCCCTAAAGCCCCTACTCTACTTGCGCTATATTGATGACATCTTCATCATCTGGACCCATGGAAAAGAAGCCCTTGAGGAATTCCACCATGATTTCAACAATTTCCATCCCACCATCAACCTCAGCCTGGACCAGTCCACACAAGAGATCCACTTCCTGGACACTACAGTGCTAATAAACAATGGTCACATAAACACCACCCTATACCGGAAACCTACTGACCGCTATTCCTACCTACATGCCTCCAGCTTTCACCCTGACCACACCACACGATCCATCATCTACAGCCAAGCTCTGCGATACAACCGCATTTGCTCCAACCCCTCAGACAGAGACAAACACCTACAAGATCTCTATCAAGCATTCTTACAACTACAATACCCACCTGCGGAAGTGAAGAAACAGATTGATAGAGCCAGAAGAGTTCCCAGAAGTCACCTACTACAGGACAGGCCTAACAAAGAAAATAACAGAACGCCACTAGCCGTCACCTTCAGCCCCCAACTAAAACCCCTCCAACGCATTATTAAGGATCTACAACCTATCCTGAAGGATGACCCAACACTCTCACAAATCTTGGGAGACAGGCCAGTCGTTGCCTACAGACAGCCCCGCAACCTGAAGCAAATACTCACCGACAACCACATACCACACAACAGAACCACTAACCCAGGAACCTATCCTTGCAACAAAGCCCGTTGCCCACTGTGTCCACATATCTATTCAGGGGACACCATCACAGGGCCTAATAACATCAGCCACACTATCAGAGGCTCGTTCACCTGCACATCCACCAATGTGATATATGCCATCATGTGCCAGCAATGCCCCTCTGCCATTTACATTGGTCAAACTGGACAGTCTCTACGTAAAAGAATAAATGGACACAAATCAGATGTCAAGAATTATAACATTCATAAACCAGTTGGAGAACACTTCAATCTCTCTGGTCACGCAATCACCAACATGAAGGTCACTATCTTACAACAAAAAAACTTCAAATCCAGACTCCAGTGAGAAACTGCTGAATTGGAATTTATTTGCAAATTGGATACTATTAATTTAGGCTTAAATAGAGACTGGGAGTGGCTAAGTCATTATGCAAGGTAGCCTATTTCCCCTTGCTTTTTCCTACCCCCCCCCCCCAGACGTTCTGGTTAAACTTGGATTTAAACTTGGAGAGTGGTCAGTTTGGATGAGCTATTGCCAGCAGGAGAGTGAGTTTATGTGTGTGTGTGTGTGTGTGTGTTCCCGGGGGGTGGGGGGGTGAGAAAGCCTGGATCTGTGCTGGAAATGACCCACCTTGATTACCATGCACATTGTAGGGAGAGTGGTCACTTTGGATGAGCTGTTACCAGCAGGAGAGTGAGTTTGTGTGTGTATGGGGGTGGGGGGTGAGAAAACCTGGATTTATGCTGGAAATGACCCACCTTGATTATCACGCACATTGTAGGGAGAGTGGTCACTTTGGATAAGCTATTACCAGCAGGAGATTGAGTTTGTGTGTGTGGTTTTTGGAGGGGGGTGAGGGGATGAGAGAACCTGGATTTGTGCTGGAAATGGCCCACCTTGATTATCATACACATTGTGAAGAGAGTGGTCACTTTGGATGGGCTATTACCAGCAGGAGAGTGAGTTTGTGGGGGGGGGGGTGTGAGAAAACCTGGATTTGTGCTGGAAATGGCCCAACTTGATGATCACTTTTGATAAGCTATTACCAGCAGGACAGTGGGGTGGGAGGGGGTATTGTTTCATGGTCTCTGTGTGTATATAATGTCTACTGCAGTTTCCACGGTATGCATCCGATGAAGTGAGCTGTAGCTCACGAAAGCTCATGCTCAAATAAATTGGTTAGTCTCTAAGGTGCCACAAGTACTCCTTTTCTTTTTGCAAAGACAGACTAACATGGCTGTTACTCTGAAACCTGAGGGAGGGAAGTATTACTATTTCCATGTCACAGCTGGCGAAGGCACAAAGAGCTGCTGACTGACTTGATAAGGACACAGGAAGCTTGTGGCAGAGCAGGGACTTGAACTCATGTCTCAGGACACTTCCTTAACCCAACAGACCTACAGCAACAGAGTGATCAACAGGAAGCATGAACTCAAGTTGAGGGATCTTGGAATCAGGACCACAGCAGTAAATGCTGTCATTGTGTGGCCTTGGATAAGTCACTTTACCTTGCTGTGGCTCAGTTTCTCCATCTGTAAAATGGGGTGTTGTGAGGTTTAGTACATTGTTTGTAAAGTGATGTAAGAACTTATAAAGCAGTGTTTCTCAACCTAGGGGCCATGGGACAGGTTTAGGGGGGTTACAAACAGGGCTCGCCTTAGGGAGTAGGAAGCAGGGCAATTGCCTGAGGCCCTGCAAAGCTAATTTGCATGTTTCAGCCCCCACTGCCCAGGGCACTGCGGGGGCTGGAGCTGGAGGACTGGAGCCACATGCAGGAAGCGGTCACAGCAGGGGGTGAGGTCATGCCTGGCTGTTTGGGGAGGCAGACCCTCCCCTAGACTATACAACTCATCACCCATGTTGCCCACATAAAACGGTTGAGAAAAACTACAGGTTTTTTATGCCCTACAGTGTCTCAATGTTGTGCTATTATTAGGGCTGTTATATTAATACTTTAACATATCTATTTACAGATAGACAGTCAAGAGCAATGAGTACAGAGTAAATTCTCATACGTCACGAGAGATGAGGCAGATAACATCAGACAGATAACATCAGATAATTCCAGAACAGAAGAAATGTGCACGAAAGTGAAGGCGCATGCAGTTCACTAGGAAATATGACCATGCAAATGTCAGTGGAATAAAAGCTAACGAAAGAAAGCAGAAAACATGAGCAACTACAACGGAAGACTTTGGGGACAGGAAACAAAGGAGGGAAAACTGTGTGGATTATGTAGTAAAACACACCAGCCTCCCTGGAAAAGATGCTACATGTCAGAAAAAGGGACTTTAAGCAGGGAGTGGTGATAACACGAGATAGATCCAGAGAAAGAGGATATAGCCACAGCAGAGACTTTAACAGAGCTGTCTGTGAAAGCACATAGGATTCTGATGAACCAGAGCAGAAGAAAAAAAATTCACTGACGAAATGGAATTATAAACATGGTTAGAGAGTTGCTTTTATCTTGTGGGAATTGTGAGAGTGGTTTATAAAACAAAACTAAAACTAAAACCAGATGTCTGTGATAGAAATGGCTATAGACCTGCCAATATCTAATCATAGTGAGAAGCAATTTATAGATTAATCAGCAAACGTAACATGTAAAAGCATCAAAGAGGAGGGAACTCAGGGCAGACAAAAATAGATTGCAGGATTCTAACAAGTCTCCAGCGACGATTTTGAATATATATGTTTTCAATGTTCAGTTCCTTGAAGAACTTTCAGACTGCTCTTGTTGAAGTCAGGAAGAATGAGTTTCCTTTCCACAAACCCTGGCTCTATGTGATCCAAGGTTGTAATGATAGCTGTAGAGATGCCATTGGTAAACCTTGGTGCATGCCGTGCTGTTGTAGCCATATCAGTCCCAGGATATTAGAGAAACGAAGTGGGTTAGGTAATGTTTTCCCTAACCAGTGTGGGGAGGGAATTCTTCCCTCTCCCTGCCCCCCGGCCTATATTAGCCAAACTACTATCTGTGCAGTGTTTGTATCGATATAGTAATCTTCAAGAAAAAAAATCCATCCCACACTGATCTGGGGAATCTTGCTCCTTGCGTAGGCAGTGCTTTACAAACAAGTCCCCTTCTGACTGTAGGCTCCTCTTAGACACAAGATGTACTCACTGTGCCCTAGATCTTCAAAAGATAACACACCCGAGGGAGACACTTGTCACTACTACTATTGTTTAAATTCTAGTGAACAAAATACCATAGCATCAGCTCAAAAAAGGAAACATGAGCACAAGATCAAAGGTGTCAGGCAGATGTAGTACATACAATGCACAGCATCTTCAAGGCTGCCTTGAATTTCAAAAGAAAATACTAGTTATCTTTTATAAATACAACAGTACAGAATAAAAATGAACATAGCTGTTTCAGGTTTGTAATAGAGAAAATGCAGTAAGGGAGGAATTTGTGCCCAAATATCATGGCTATATCCCAAATTCACAACTTCTGGGCACAAATCCAATCTCTGTTAGAGGCAAAAAAATATGGATATAAGAAACCAGGTATCTCTATTAGATGCATGTCTCAGTGCCTTTTCAGTTGACCTTTCTTTAATAGTTCCAAGACACTTTTACAGTGGGAAAAAGCAAATATATTATCATCATGCTGCTCAAGCAACAAATGAATTTTAGCGCACAAAATTAAAATAATCCTTGTTTCTGGCATAGACTATGGTTATGTCTGCAACAATGGGGTCTGTACTTGTATCATAGTAACAAACCCTAGAAACATTTAGTGACTACACTTTGTTTTTGGCTTTACTCCCACCAGACTAACTTCAGATAATCTAATTTAAATGCACATTCGAACAGCAACAAGGCCATTACAATGCAAGACATTAAATACCACAGGGATGAGAGCTATGAAGTGTATATAATAAACAAGGGATGGTGAACTCTTGATGTTGGTTACTCTGCTAAATAACTACTCCACTTTTTAAAAACTCATGGTATTCTCCTTATTGGGAAAATAATGCAGCCTTACTAGGAGAACAAGTCCCCCCCCCCCCCAGACCACACTAATGCAGAGAACAGATATTCACTAAAAGCAGAACAACATTAGGGTGGAGAGAGAGTTTATTGTACAAGTGAGAGACATGGAAGAGGCAGATATTTTCTCTGGTGCCTCCAGCAACAAGAAATAATGGAGGTTATTTATGTGTAACTGGAGATTCTTTGAGATGTGTGGTCCCTATCTGTATTCCACATGTGGGTATGCATGCGCACCATGCAATTGAGTCTGGAATTTTTTTCGCAAGCAATGTCTGTTGGCCTGCACATACACCATAACTTTTCTCATGCTCCAAAGCAAGGGCATAAAGGTTGGTGTGGGCTGACGATTTTCCAGTTCCTATTCTTACTGAAGTCTAAATCTGCAGCAGAGGGGATGGACGGCGGGTAGTGGAATACAGATAGGGACCCCACATCTCAAAGAACCTCCAATTACAGGGAAGTAACCTCCCATTTCTTTTTCAAGTGATAGTCCCCCTGTGTATTCCACATGTGGGAGATTAATAAACAGCAATCAAAACAGGAGGTGGGTGCAAGGACGCAGAAGTGATAGCTGACTGTTATACTGCTGTCCCAACAGGTGTATGTGCAGTGGAAACCTGGACCAGAGCATAATGTCTGGTGAAGATATGGAAAGAGCTCCAAGTAGCTCCCCTACATCTCTCTAGTAGGGGAAGGTCTCTCAGAGACATAGCAGGGGCTGCTTGCCCTCTGATGGAATGAGCCCTTACCCCTTCCAGTGGTTGTGGGGTAGGGGGATGCAGGTGAGTGCAGATCTCTTCAGCAGAGGTGACCATCATGGAGTCCCAGAATCGCAAAAGAGCTCCAGCATGGACTGAATGGGAGGTACGGGATCTGATCGTTGTATGGGGAGATAAATCCGTGCCATCAGAACTCCATTCCAAAAGACAAAATGCCCAAACATTTAAAAAAATCTCCAAGGGCATGAAGGACAAAGGCTAGAAGAGGAACCCGCAACAGTGCTGCGTGAAACTTAAGCAGCTGAGGCAAGCCTACCAAAAAAAGAGGCAAACGGCTGCTTGGGGTCAAAGCCCCAGACATGCTGCCTCTATGATGAGGTGCATGCCATTCTAGGGAATGCAGCCACCACTACCCCACCCCTGTGCTTTGACTCCGTCAATGGACTATCACGCAACAGGGAAGTGCATTTTGGGGATGAGGAAGAGGAGGAGGTTGAAGATAGCGCACAGCAAGCAAGCAGAGAAACCGTTTTCCCTGAGAGCCAGGAACTGTTTCTCACCCTGGACCTGGAGCCAGTACCCCCTGAACCCACCCAAAGCGGGCTCCCGGATCTGCCAGGTGGAGAAGGGACGTCTGGTGAGTGTACCTTTGTGAATATAATACATAGTTTAAAAGCAAGCGTGTTTAATGATTAATTTGCCCTGAAGACTTGGGATGCATTCGTGGCCAGTACAGCTACTGGAAAAGTCTGTTAACATATCTGGGGATGGAGCGGAAATCCTCCAGGGACATCTCCATAAATCTCTCCTGGATGGTCACTCCTCATGGTCACCTGGTTGAAATAGGGTAATTTTATTAAGGGGACATTCAGAGGTGGCTGTGGCTGAAAAGAAATATTCCCTGCTGCTATCCACGCAGTGCAGGGAGGGGTGAAGTGATCATCCCAGAGAATTGGGTGCGTGGGGGGGTTTAGTTGGGTTTGTGCTGCACATTAACGCAAAAACTGCAGTCTCTTCTTTTAAATTGCTAACCCATTTTAAATGGCCAACCCAACGGCTGCTTGGTATGGGAAACGAGGGTGCTGCTGTTTGAAACCATTCCCAAATGTTATGAAGGTTAAAGAAGCCAAAAGACTGTGGCTTACCATGGCTGCCTGAAAGCCGAATTATGTTGTCCGGCTCTGCCGTGGGTGTTATCTCTTACACCAAACCGACAGACCCTCACCATAAGAGGCAAAATGTGACCTTGTACCGAAAGCACACGTGCTATGTAATGTTAACAGCAAGGTTCACCGTGAAAGAGTCTACCCATTGTTCTCTAAAATGGGACTTTTTAATTTAGATAATATTTTTACTTCACAGTCCAAGAGACAGACAGACAAGGTTTTCATCTCGAGGCCAAAAGACCAAATTTAATAATTTTATTAAGATAATGTTGAAGTAAAAAGAAAACGGTACAGAGTTCAAGCATAGAAGTTTCTGGTTATCAGGGAAAAAGGTACAGATTATCAAGGGGTGTGAAATTCGGTTTAGGAACGGGTGGCGTAAGGAATACATAATCTGCAATCTCCCTGATTGGGGGTAAAAAGTTTAACTGGTCAAAGTACAGACATTGAGATATGGGGGTATGTTGTCCATATAACGGCTATATTCAGGTGTGGAGTATAATGAGCGGATACGATGATGAGGATGGATCTACCCTCATTTGGTGGGATTTAATGTTCAGTGAGTTTATGGTTCCAGTTCATATGGTCCAATGGAAAAAAGTCTCTCAGTCCCTTTCCCATAGTTGATGCACGAGGTCATACTGGCTCACACCTCCTGGTACTCTCGGTGGCCGGTGATGTGTTCGATGTATGTCCCTGGACCATCGGATGGTGTCTGAGACCATGAGGTGCCACATGAACTGTGTGTAGCGTCGACCAATCCCACAGGTCCACAGCACACGCTCGTCGCAGGGGTCCCAAGCGCCCAGGGCTCCGACCATCAGGGCATCCATCTGCACCTTGAAGCCCTTCGCTCTCAGGGTGTCGGCCAGGGGGGCATGTTTTTCCAGCTTATGAGCTCGGGATTCGCGGAAGGCCGGGGTCTTGTTCTCAAAGGAGACCATGACGTCGACGAGGATGATCTTTTTCTGGGCCTCGTCGGTGACTACCATGTCAGGTCGCAACTGCCTGTCAGTACCAGGGATGGCGCAGTTCACGGCGACCTCCCCCAGACGCGGTGTGATGGCTTTCATTAGACGGTTCTGGATGGCGTTGTGGCGCAGCTGCTAGGCTCTGGAGTGGGGCTTGCAGCTGCACAGGACGTGGGGCAGGGTCTCGTTGGAGTAGTCGCACTTCCTGCAACGCTTGTCTCGGTTCCAGTGGTGGACGGCTCTGTTGAGTGGGACGCAGTTGAGCCGGGCTCGGTGGATGAACTGCCAGTCGGCGAAACAGGTGAAGCCGCCCCCCAGCGAGGAAGTGGTTGCTGGCATCCCATTTGCAGGTCAGTTCGAAGGCTTTACCCCGTTCTTAGCCAAAAGGCCGAGTACTCTCCCTTTTTTCCCCCCTCCCACAGATGAAAATAGTTCTCCATCCGATCTCCATCCCAGAGGCTAGTGAAAATTAAAAGGCGAAAAAAACCAAACACACTCACAATGAAGTGTTCTGAGCCCATGCAGTCCTCCCACATTGAAAGATCCCAGCAGAATGTGTGGAGGTAAGCAATGTCAGAGTCCAGGAAAGCACAATATGAATATGAGGACAGGTGGCAGGTTGAAGATGATAGGTGGTGTCCTCTTGCTGACAGAAGGCAGGAGGCAATGCTGAGGCTACGGGAGGATCAAACTGATATGCTCTGGTGTACAGTTGAGCTGCAGAAAAGGCAGGAGCACAGACCGCCGCTACAGCCCCTGTGTAACTAACCACCCTCCTCCCCAAGTTCCATAGCCTCCTCACCCAGACGCCCAAGAATGCAGGGGGTGGGGGTGCCTCCAGGCCCCCCAGCACTCCACGCCAAGGACTGCCCAAGCAACAGAAAGCTGGTATTCAATAAGTTTTGAAGTGCAGTGTGGCCTTGTCCTTCCCTCCTCCCCCACCCCACCCCACGCTTCCCTCCTGGGCTACCTTGGCAGTTATCCCCCTATTTGTGTGAAGAATTAATAAAGAATGCATGATTTTGAAACAACAATGACTTTATTGCCTTTGCAAGCGGTGATCGAAGGCTGTTGGCTTACAGGGAAGTAGTGTGAACCAGGGGGGCGGGTTTTCATCAAGGAGAAACAAACAGAACTTTCACACCTTAGCCTGGCCAGTCATAAAACTGGTTTTCAAAGCTTCTCTGATGTGCACCGCGCCCTCCTGTACTCTTCTAACCACTCTGGTGTCTGGCTGCGTGTAATCAGCGGCCAGGCAATTTGCCTCAACCTCCCACCCCGCCATAAACATCTCCCCCTTACTCTCACAGATATTGTGGAGCGCACAGCAAGCAGTAATAATGCTGGGAATCACAAAAGCTTACGCTCAAATAAATTTGTTAGTCTCTAAGGTGCCACAAGTACTCCTTTTCTTTTTGCAGATACAGCCTAACACGGCTGCTACTCTGAAACCTGTCAAAATGGGAATATTGTTTTTGCTGAGGTCTAACCGAGTCAGTAAACTGCCAGCGTGCTTTCAAACGTCCAAATGCACACTTTACCACCATTCTGCACTTGCTCAGCCTATAGTTGAACAGCTCCTGACTACTATCCAGGCTGCCTGTATATGGCTTCATGAGTCATGGGAGCAAGAGGTAGGCTGGGTCCCCAACTATAGGTATTTCAACATCCTCAATGGTTATTTTCTGGTCTGGGAAGAAAGTCCCTTGCTGCAGCTGTTGAAACATACCAGAGTTCCTGAAGATGCGAGCATCATGTACCTTTCCCGGCCATCCCAGGATGTTGGTGAAACATCCCTTGTGATCCACCAATGCTTGCAGCAACATTGAAAAGTACCCTTTGCGGTTTATGTACTGGATGCCTTGGTGGTCCGGTCCCAAGATAGGGATATGCATTCCGTCTATCGCCACCACAGTTAGGGAATCCTATTACAGCAAAGCCATCCACTATAACCTGCACATTTCCCAGAGTCACTACCCTTGATAGCAGCAGTTCAGCGACTGTGTTGGCTACTTAGATCACAGCAGCCCCCACATTCTTTGCCCACTCCAAATTGATTCCCGACTGACCGGTAGCTGTCTGGCGTTGCAGTCTTCCAGAGGGCTCTCGCCACTTGCTTGTGAACTGCGAGAGCTGCTCTCATCTTGGTATTCTTGCACTTCAAGGCAGGGGAAAGCAAGTCACAAAGTTCCATGAAAGCGCCCTTATGCATGGGAAAGATTTGCAGCCACTGAGAATCATCCCAGACCTGCAACACTATGCGGTCCCACCAGTTTGTGTTTGTTTCCCGAGCCCAGAATCCATGTTCAACAGCATGAACCTGCCCTGTTACCACCATGATGTCCAAATTGTCGGGACCCGTACTTTGAGAGAAGTCTGTGTCCATGTTCTCATCACTCTCGTCACCGCACTGCCATCACCTCCTCGCCTGCTTTTGCGGGTTCTGGTTCTGTATATACTGCTGGATAACGCGCGTGATGTTTACAATGCTCATAACTGCCACTGTGATCTAAGCAGGCTCCATGCTTGCCGTGGTATGGCATCTGCAGGAGAGCAGAGTGGCAGCGGAAGCGGCAGGTGGATGACTATGCTGACAGCAATATGGCGCCCGTATGGAAAAAGGCGCAAAACTATTGTGGGCCGTTGCTTTCACAGAGGGAAGGAGGGAGGGAGGGGGGAAGCAAGGGGTAAGCTGGCAGTGGATGCTGCAGTACGACTGCTAGCCATCATAGTCTCCTGGGTGCTCGCCAGCAGACGGTGTAGTACAACTGTAGCCATCATGGTTTCCAGGCAGACTGAATCTCCATGAGACGAAACTTAAGAAGAGAATGACCTGGAATCACTCCCATTTATGTCCAGGCAGCCCGATAGACCTCACCGAGGTCTGACAGGAGCACCTATGTCTGCCCAGGCGCCCCCGACCGACCTCACCAAAGTTGGCCAAGAGCACCCAGGAGACGACAACGGCTATCAGTTGTACTGCACTGTCTGCTGTCACAACGCAATGAGCTGCTGCTGTGTAGCGATGCAGTACCGTGTCTGCCAGCACCCAGGACACGTATGGTGACAGTGAGCTGAGCGGGCTTCATGCTTGCCATGGTATGACGTCTACACGGGTAACCCAGGAAAAAGAGACGTGAAATGATTGTCTGCCGTTGCTTTCACGGGGGAGAGGGGGGCCTGATGACATGTACCCAGAACCACCCGCGACAATATTTTTACCCCATAAGGCATTGGAATCTCAACCCAGAATTCCAATGGGCAGCAGAGACTGTGGGAAACCTACCCACAGCGCAATGCCCTGGAAGTCAACGCTAGCCTTGGTACTGTGGATGCACTCCGCCGACTTAATGGTCTTAATTGGGGGGACACACACAACTGCACAAAATCGATTTCTAAAAAAATCGACTTCTATACATTCGATCTAATTTTGTAGTGTAGACATACCCTTAGGGGTAGTAGTCCACCTAAGTAGTCTTAGGGGTAGTAGTAGCAAGAATGTGCCAAACCATCTTTTCTGTGTCCATAATGGCCTCAGTGGGGTGAGGGGGACATTCGACTGAGATCAAAGGTTGCTGAATGTCCAGTACTCTGTGCTGAGGCTCCTGGACTTCCTTAAACTGACTCTGTAGTTCTGCCACTATCCTGTGAATGAGCTATTGATATTGTTTAAAATCATCTGGTGGAGACAGAGAAGATGAAGAAACCATCTCAGCCAGTGAAGATGACGACATTTTTCCTGGAACCATTAGAACTGGCTCACCTTCCTCCAAATACTCCCATGGAGCAAGTTATAGATGGCTAGGTGATAACAAATGGGGCTCATGCATCGATCCTGGATGTCTAGGGTGGGGCTCCCATGGTCTCCAGTATTGTCAGTGGAGGACCCCCCCAGGGCATAGGTTACCACCTATCTCATGGCCAACTGTGTCTGGGCAGAGGCCAGAACCCTGATCTTCTATGGCTTCTGTCCAGGCCATCTCTCCTCAGAGCTGCAGAAACTCCTGCGGAGCATCCAACTCAGCAGAAGAAGAGGCTAGACCCTGGACTACCAGCAGAATTGATGGTACCAATCAATGGCTGTGCCTTGAGACTGACAGGTGGGTAGGGAGAACAACTCTGAATCATCAGGATAGTCTCTTCCCCTGGTGTAACAATGTCCTGGAATAAAGAAGATCCTGATAGGAGGGGTGAATGTGGCCAGGTCAGATCAAAGCTCTCAGACCACCCTGGAGTATGAGGAAGGTCCACCTGCAGAAACTGTCTGAACTGGAGCTTCCCCAGTCACACTGGAAGTTGAGCCACATGGGACCGTGCTGATATGGGTACATCGGCTCTAAAACTGGATAAGAGCACTGCAAGCTATTTAACCTGAGTCTTTGCTATCAGAGCTGTCAGATCCCTACCCTTGCTCACCACCATTTCCTGCAGAGATTTACTTTGGTCGTAGTCCTTAGTGTCTGTTGGAATTATTAATAATTTCAAATATTGTTAATGTTATGGGAACTTACCAAAACACCAATTTAACCATGAATTCCTTAATTAAATTAAATTGAAGGCCAAAGGGTACTTTATGCAGTTGCTCTAAACATGTATAACATCCAATACAGTAATAATATTTATAAGCAGGTGATCCGTAGACTTACAACTAGGCCAGACCTAGGGATACCCATCTCATTCTGGTATGGTCCAGCACGATCAGGTAGGGTCTGACAAAACCTTTGGATTCATGGCTCTCTTTATACCCTTCAGCTAACTAGCTTTAGCAAAAGCCTAGTTTGAAGCAGTTTATCTGAGCTTCTTTCCTTTTTCCAAGGCCGCCTCTTTTTTTCCTGCCCCTTCCCAGCCTTGCTTACCAGCAGAACAGTGGGATGATTTGGGTTTGTTTCTTTTGAGACAATTTGTGTTTATCATGTTACTGTAGCTTTTATTTTAGGAACCGTATATCCTTCCCCCATTAAAGTAACACTACTTACTATTCTCATGGCCTTCATTTACTTGCTGATTGGAGCCATCTTTCTACTGGCCATGAACTGTAAAGTGAATTTTTTTTCTTAACCAAACTTAAGATAACTCTAATTTTTATCATCCTACAGCACCCATGCACAGTCTCTCACGACTTTGCCAGAATCAGGGAGGGATCCTCTCTCTTCATGACAGTTTTTGACAAAGATGACTTTTCCTTGTATCTATGAAAGTGCCCCTTACTCTAATGTGAAGCCTTCTCCTTAGTCTTGGCAGTTTTAGCTTCCTTTCCTGAAGTCATGCTTGGAGAGGAGCAGCCTGCTTCCTGAGACTGATGTACAGGTCAGGGGAGGAGGTTCCCAAGCCAAACTTGATTGGGGTCTCGCTACCTTCTCCATCAGATATTTTCTAAGTTTTAGTTACTGACCCTCAAGTTCTGGGCAGAAAAGAAATGCAGTTGCTGCAGATGTGAACCTCACCCAAGCAGCAGAGTCAGTGTTGATGGTTGTTGCTTGCAGAAAACAGTTTTGGAATGCTAGGACCCTAGGAATAATCCCAGACTTCTGAAGCAGAAAAATTCTCCAGGAAAGGGAGGAAACTAACTACACTATGCTAGAATATACTATAAAAATGAAATTATACACTGGGTTCGGCAACCTTTGGCACATGGCCCATCAGGGTAATCTGCTGGCGGACCACGAGACATTTTGTTTATGTTGATCGTCTGCAGGCACGGCCCCCTGCAGCTCCCAGTGGCTGCGGTTTGCCGCTCCCAGCCAGTATATTTAGAGCAATGATACAGTAGAAAGGATCTCAGGACAACAAAGATTCTGACTTGGATTATGCCACAGTAAGAAGGAACTGGAGAGGGCTTAGTCCACGCCACCCTTTATGTCCTCGTTTTGGAGCATGAGGAAAGGTATGGGGGCCAACAGACACCACTTCTAAAATCCTGGGCTCAGGCACATGCATATCCATGTGGGAGTACACAAGGACCACCACTCAAAGAAGAATCTAGTCCTAGCACTACCTGTATATTAGACCTGCTAACACTTGAATATTTTAAGGCTTTTTTTTTTTTATGAAGTTCTTAAACAATTTGGTTGTTTGAATGAGTCACATAACATTGTTTCTTTGAACTGACAAGCATGAACCTGTTTGAGGGTGAAGAGACTTTTTACCATTTACAGATGCTTCTGTGCTTTTTCCAGCTAGATCATCCTGAGCAATAGCTTGAGCAAAAACTGGTATATAAGCAATTGCACTTCTAAAGTTTTTTGAAGTGGGATTTAAGATTGTTGGACAATGCCAAGGAAGTGTCCCTGCGGACACCACCAGCCTCAAAAAAGCATGAATGACAAACACCTTAACCATTCCTGCACAAGACACATCTTTGATTAATCAGGAGGAAAGTGATATAGCTTCACCATGAAGGTAGAGAAAGTTTTTAAAAGGTTCCTTCACATAAAGCATTTTCAAAAGTACAATACCTAAACAAGAGTTCAGAGGTCTTAGCTAAGTTCTCTTCCTCTAAAGTCACCCACTGCTTCTTAAAGACTTAGAAGGGCTGAGACAGAAAATGCAGTTCTGTAAAGAAACAAGACTTGAGATGAGAATCAATGGGCTCATTTAAAAAAAAACAAAAACAAAACAGGTAAAAATCTTTAGCAAAATAGAAGAACTGACCAGAAAACTGGAGGGAAGGAATACTACGAGACAACACAGTTGTGTTACAGACCTTACTGAAGCAAATCTCTCCTTCACCTCAGTTGTCACTTTGCTTGATAAGGATGGTGGTCTTATTTTTTCATATTGTAGGAGTAACTGAACCTTATGACAACTTAGTCTTCCTATAAAGATCAGACTCTCTGAATCTTGAAAATCCTCTACTTAAAATTGAGAGTGCTCCCAGGTGTCTCACCCAGAAACCAAGAGATTGTCTCCTTCCTGGTCAACTAAAACTAAAATGTGTTGAGTATTCTGCATGCTTTTATATAATATGGAGTAAATTACTAAGACTTTTTTTTTTTTAAAACAGCAGTAACATTTTCAAAATGGTCCTGAAGCCCCTAGAATGCTAAATTCCATTTGCAGAAGTGACTTAGGCACTTGGCTTCTTCCACTAGAAGCTTTAAAAGAATAAAATTAAATTTGTGACTAAACTCCCACTTTTCTAGCTCAGTTAAGTACCTTCCTGCATTCAAGGGTCTAACTTTTATAAAAATTGTTGATTGATATACACACACCAGCTAGAGTTTGAACTTCCACAGGAAAGTAGAAAGGACATAGCTTCACATAAGAATAAACACATCCCAAACCAGTGGGAGTAAGGGTTTCACCTCTTCCTTTGAGGATCAAGAGAAGATAGTCTAATGAAAAAAAAAAAACAATCAAGAGAATTACAACACTAAAACAAAGGACAGACTGAGTCCCACACGGAGTCCAATTAAAATCTCCATGAAGATCTATGCTATATGGTCAACACAGCTTAATGAAAAATATGGACCACAAAAGTTGGATGACACAGGTGACTGGCAGTAGGACACAGATCAACTCACTGATTGAAATCCATGAACAGTAAAAAGCCTTGTTACCAACATCTCTGTAGTATGTACCCTTGCTGGAAGTCTCCACAAGTCAAATGAACCAGGGGGATAGCAGATTGCGGTGTTACTGGCATTTCATGGCTAGTTTGCCAAATTGACTATTATGCTCTGGACTTTTCTCCCAAGGACTAAATGCATTTCTAATTTAGTCTAACTTTAAAGAAGATCATATTTAGAAGAAACAGTGGGATCTTAAGCTACAGTAAAACTCCATCCTAATGATCATGTCCACAGTAGAACACTACTGTTAAATTTAGTACTGAAAGGCAGATTGAGAATACACCTTCTGACATGTTGCCTGTCTACATAACGCCTTCCAGGAACAACATCTGGAGAAAACTATTAGCGTACTTCATTTGTCCCCTGTATCCATTTTGCTTGCAGAGAGCATATTTAAATCTGTCCTTAGTTCTGTACTGTATGCTTTTCCTGTATGCAAATAACCCTATAGGACAGGGCTTCTCAAACTTCATTGTACCATGACCCCCTTCTGACAACAAAAATTACAACATGACCCCAGGAGGGGGGACGAAAGCCTAAGCCCACCCAAGCCTCGCTGACCCGGGGGAAGAGGGGGGGAGCCAAAGCCCCACTGCCCTGGGCAGGGTGTGGTATCAAAGCTGAACCTCAATGGCTTCAGTACCAGGCAGGGGGCCTACAACCTGAAGCCCTCGAGCTTCAGCCCTGGGCGGCGGGGCTTGGATTTAAGCTTATGCCTCAGCCCCAGGAAGGCTAATGCCAGCCCTGGTGACCCCATTAAAACAGGGTCATGACCCACTTTGGGGTCCCGACCCACAGTTTGAGAACTGCTGCTCTAGGAGAGGATAGCCTTGTGCTTTAGTGCACAAGAATGCTTAAGAAAGGTGCAGTAGGTTTAACACAAACTACTCTAAAAACACTATGTTGTTCTAATACTTGTAAACTTTAAGATCATTTGAAGTACCTATTAAAAAAATCCTCAGCATTATGGTGGCAGGTATAGGTCAGTTTTTGTCCAGATTTAGGACTTTTACATTTTATAAGCCACTATCCTTAGTTTTGTAAGAGTATTACGCTTGCTTTACTTCAGAAATATGTACACAATCTAAGACCTCCATGCACACCCATCCTCAACATCACACTCATTAAACAGGATGAGGAAGTAAAGTTGAAATAGAAACCAGTGCTTTTGTGGGGAACAGGAGGGAAGGCAGGGGGAGGACACAAAAACAAACTCAGTCTTGTTGACATGACAAAATATCCAAGCAATAAGACTTCATTAGAGCCTTTGTCTTGATTTGAATGTATTTTGCTGACGTCAAACCTTACAGGCCAGAACTCAAGATGGCAAACGGCAGTTCGACATGCTAAAATATCTTCCAATAATATGTAACATTCTACTGAAAGAATAATTTAATGGAATAAACTAACTTTGTGGGTATTTATGAAACCTTTGGCAAAAAACTGGGAATTCCATTCCTTCTAAGTAGCAACATTACCAGTTAAGTTTGAGAACTCAATTGTTTCTATTAAAAAATAGAGCAAATAACTAGTATTTAAGTACAGCATTTACACTCAGTTTGCAAGCTCTTTTCTTTTAAAGGTTTGGAGTTGACCAAAATATTAGCGTAGGAGAAAACTCAGTTACAGTAGTAGAATGGTTATATACAGGAAGTCAGTTTGGCATTTAACCAAATGGAGTTCAGTTCACAACAGTATACAGTATCTATTCAAAGCAAGTGTCCAACTCCAACATTTGGTCTTCAAGCAGGAAGCGTTCAAGAGAAGAGTAAACAGAATCTTCTACCATTAAACAAAGGTAGCAATAAGAAACATTGCTTCTTAAGCCACATGCGTGTCAAGACTGACTACATTCTTTTCCTTTGATATTTAAGGTATAAGTTTGGTAAACATGTTAGCACTTGTGAATTCAAGTCGACAGTCTACTTTTTTTTTTTTTAAATTAAAGTGAATGTAACATTGGCAAGTACTAAGACTTGGACACTGAAGTAATTTATCTACAGAACAGGTCACATGTGGAAGCTTCCATAGTGTCCTCTCTAGCATGCCTCAACTCTGCCCTGGGAGTCAAACCTCTACCTCTCTGCCAACTACTTTTAAATATGACCTTGATTCTTTTTATATGAACACTTGCTTGATAACTGGATTGGGACCTTCCAGCTTCACATAGGCTACTGAACAGTTTTCAGATGGTGAGGATCTGATAATGACAACTTTGTATTTGAACCAGCAATCTAGAATGTGTTCTGTGGAACCATTATGCACAGGCTTTTAGAAGTGTTATACACCTTATGGCCATAATATTAAAAGCTAGAAACCTTTTACGTAAAAACTTGCTAGTTGCACAATATTACACAAAATTTTTGGCAATTTTAATTTAGAAGATGACTGTTCTATTTCTAAATTGTTATAATATATCATTAGATGTAAAAGGTTATTAGATCCAGTTTTACAGTTATCGTATTAGTGGGTCAGATTAATATACATTTTCTCATTTGTGAAAATACACGAGCACAGGTGTATGAATGCAAATAAGATCAAGACATGCTCTCACTTTCCAGAGGGATACACTTGTTTCCTTTCATTTTCAAATTAGAGTATTGTAGATTTACAAAAGAAAATATTTACAGGTTAAAGGTATGTTAAGCAAGACTAGTAAGAATATTTTCCATGGAGGATATATTTTTCTTGCTTAATTTTCAAAAATAAATAGAGGCTTTCCACTGAAAGCATTTATTTTCCTAGTTATCTGAAGTGGAGTCTAGGGCGAGGAAAAAAATGCTTCAGACTTTTCATAGTCCACTTCGTTACATAAAACATCTCCTGTCCCAAATGTTTGCTCAAATCCAAGTGATATTTTCTTCCCGTGAAATACGACTGGAGCTTTCATTTTATTTTCAGCAATTCAGTCTGTTTCCATGGCAGCACTGCGGGATTCCTTAGCTACCATGAGTCGCATTAGCTGACTGTGGAATTTCTCAATCTTCTTTACATCTTGAGCCTGGTCTGTTCTATATAGCAGACACTGTCAAAAGAAAGTTAGTGAATATCAGGTTTTATTTCAAGCTATTCATATCTGTGATGATTTATAGTTTCAATATTAATTTCACATATTTCTGACACCAGAAAGATTACACTACAAAGTGAAAGACTTCAAGGACTCTGATCAATGCCATCTGTACTGTGTCCCACACGTGAAGGGGCAACATAGAGCTACCCTTAACTTCCAACTCTATGACAAATTACTCAATTATTTAATATATAAAATAAATCAATCTTCCTTGGGTCCCCCATATAAAGTGTCTGCATTAACACTGCAAACTCAATGCTAGGGACTGCTTTCTGTTTTGAAAAAAATCAAGCATGCAGTTTGCACTTAGAACTCCACTGTTCTAAAGCCTCACTGTAACTTGCAAAAATCTTGGGTGCCGTAAGGCTAGCATTGAATACAGTGCATTATATTCAATGTTGTATACAGATAAAAATCTGTGTAACACTAAGAGAAAACAATCTGGAATAAATTAATATATGCCTATTTAACATCTTTTTAGTACTGACATTCCTTAGAGCACTATGCATAACTTTCTGGATAATATTAAACAGCTGTAGTTTACATCCACTCTAAACTCATATTAATAGTTTTGTCTTTCCCCTTTAGCAATGTGCTGTACATGTTTACATTCTATTTGAAGTGTGAATATTCTAGCGGTCAGATCAAGTTTAATGAGCTTGCTTCCCTCAGTCTAACTTGTCTCATGATTACACAAGCACTACTGAGCTTTCAAGTATCTTCTACAAAGGACCACAGCCAGGTGGTTAGCACAAAAACCCGTGAACTACAGTCTAATTGTTCAATGAAAAACTTAAGCAGGATAGAAAAGATTGAGGTTTGATTCAGAGAAATGGTGTATTTTAACACTAAAGGGGGTTTATATTTATTCTCTTTTGCCTAAACTTTTCTGCAAAGGCTAAGGTCTCTTTTCATAATGAGAGGAGTTCTCAACAACAACAAAAACCACACAATCTCAGCAGCAGGCCAAAAGCTGCCCTGTGATGGAAGAAATTGTTGTGGTAACACATGAAACAGATTCTTTCCTTTCGGTGTTCTGTAATCACCAAAGCGGATTTTTTGAACTAGAAATTATTCTTTCCTTGCATTTCCCCAGCTTAGATCTTCATACTTTTAGGGATATACTTATTTTGTCATTAGCAGTGACAGATTAAGCATTGCTTAGAAGTGAACAAAATTCAAGATTTTTTCGTCTTTGGCGATAATGCATTGTCTCTATGATCAAGAGGTATTTCCCTATAGAGAAGCTTTGAAGAATCAGAGAACCACCTGGCTGATTAAGATAAGGAGAAGTTCTCTTCATGTGAGGTTTTCCCTCCCCATTGCACATTATAAACAGAAATAAGATGCCACTGTCTGATCATAATTACATACTAGACACTCGTACTGATGCTTGGCAAACTGGAATTTTAAATTTACTGCAGCTAGAGGCCACAAATACTTTTGTTTGCCTAAGAGGCAGCTCATGGATTTGGGGATACCAGCTGAAACAGCAGGTGACTTGGAATATAGCCAACATTTCTGTCAAGAATGATTAGTTCCCTCTGTCTGTATAGCATGAATACAACAACAACCCAGCTGTCCAGATTGATTTAGCAAAGGAATAAAAATAGAAAGCTTCAGTCTCCAGGGCTGTCAATACAGCAGCTTTACTCGCATTAAATTCACATTAAAACTTCTTTAAACTAAGGCATGCAGTACAGAACCTACTTCAGTCTTTCCACAGCTATACTGCCTCTGCAGAGTGAACAGCAGTAAAACTTGCCTTTGTCAGTAAAGTTGACCACTGATTTGGTGACAAGCAGATGAGAGTAAAGTGGGGCTGTTTTAAACTACATTAAGCTCAGGATTCAACTTACCCCAAATTTCCTACTTTGTGGGATTTCTCCTAACAAATCTGTCTTTTCAATTAAGAATGTCCCTAATTCAACATCCCTCTAGCCTTCAGAGCCCATCCCTTGTACTGTAATTAGCCATCCACAGATGCCTGACTATTTCTCCTCCACAGTCTGGTCTCTGTGACACTGATCAACTCTTCTAGGAGGAGCCTGCACAGACTAGCTGGATTTAGTTTGCCTCAACCCTGAAGAAACAGTATCTTAAAAGGCAAACTACTAGCAATATGAACTATTACACGTGCTGTTTGCCCTTCTTTATTGTTCTGTGTGTTGCCCTTTCCTCTTGCTCCTACACTCCTCCCTTTCCTAAACATCTGTCCAGCGTGTTTGGACAGAAGTCAGCTAGAGGAGACACTAAATACTAAAGCCATTTAAAAAAAAAAAGCCCTGCTGCATTCTAATTCAGGGGAGGAAAGGTTACAAGAACGTGTGAGAAATACTCCCAAGAGATGCCACTGAACATATAGCTGATCATATGGTATTGTCATAAAAGATGCAGGCTCTAACATCAACTTTTGAATTCAGTCTGATTTATTGGGGTTACACAGGACATTTGAGTAAGAGAGAAGTAGGCTTAAATTTGAAAGAACTATTGACCCCTCCTTAGAGAGCAGCTTGAGACTGGACAACACTTTCTACCCCCAACTTCTCCCCTGCCTCCCATTGCTCCAGACCTCTGCAATATCCCCTGCAGCTCTCGAGTCCAGCTCCTACTGCATTCTTTCCATCCACCTTTTAATGTGTCTGCTGCTCTTCAATCCCTGTGTCCTGTCTAGCCCCTAAACCAGAGTGACAGCCATTTTACCTGTAGGCATAGCTGTAGTTTAACTGAAAACAGTGGGAAGTGGCAGCCAACTATATTAAGGGCAGCTTTTCCACATGCATATGGGCTACCATTTCCCTGTCTATCTTGCTAGCTTCAGTCCCACTGAAAGTAACAGGAGATGGGGCCACTTTGTATAAAGGGAAATTTTGTGAGTTGGCAGCCTTTCATCATGTTTTCAGATGACTTAAAACACCCCAAAAAAAAAAAATCACAAGAGTCATGATAAAATAATTAGAGTTGGCAATACTGCATTCATAGAGACCCCTATGAAAAGTGGAGTAGCCAGATACCAGGTTATTTCTCCAAGCTTCTGTGGGGTGTTGGGTGAGAGGATCAATATCTAGAATTTTGTGTTTGTTTGCAGTTTGTCTTTTCCTCACTTCAGTGAAGTTTCTTGATTGCGTTATAAAACATGCTCCACTGAAAGTCTCCCTTATTTACATTTTATGCCAACAAACAAACGTGTACATTAAATATTTAAAAGTTTTAGACTTTCAGGACAGTTCAACACCAGAAATTTTTGCCAATACAACATTAGGAAGGGATATGGGGTTTGTTTGTTTGTTTTTTTTTTTTTTTTTTTGGGGGGGGGGGAGGGGGCATTTCTGTGCTGGCAAAAGCCCTACCGCAGATGGAGTTAACACACCATAAAAAAGTGCTTTTGCCAGTAGAGCTTATTTTACTCAAAGCAGTGTAAGTTATACTGCCAAAAGCCCTTTTATGGTGGTATAAGGGGTCTCTACACTAGGAGGGTTTGCGAGAATAGCTATACCGGCAAACCTTTTCTAGTTAGACCTAGCCTTATTCATTTCCCCTCTCTCTGGTAGTGGTTTTTTGTTTTTCTCATTACCACACAAACTAAAGAAAGGAGTTACCTTTAACTGCAAGACTTTTATACAAGCAAAATAAGAATAACAGCATTTTCAGTTATATCCCTCAAAAGAAACCCAGTAAGTTCCCTTAAAGGGAAATAAGGACCCAATCCTATTCTCCTTGAAATCATTAGGAACTTTGTCTCAGACTCAGTGGGTGCAGAATAGGGTACCAAGCTAGCATCAGAGGCTCTCAAACACATACTCCGAGTACAAGAAGCTTGGTGGTTTGAGAAAGTTAGCTTACAGAACCATCTATATATGAAGTTCTCATAGCAATTTTTACACTCAAATTAAATGATAGACGGTCTTAAAATACAAGCTTGCAGAATCAAGCTTTACGGTCACAACATTCTTTACTTACAACTATATCATCTGTTACTTTGATACACAGATTCCCATCACAGTGTCGGTATTTAAGAACCACACGCACCTGAAATGAGAAAACATTTTAGGAATTACTGATAGACAAGGTTTTCACATCACACAAAGATTTTCTAGCATAGAACAACTTAATATTTAAAAGGTGTTATTTTACATTTAATTTGGTTTGATCAAGAAAACTACTTGTCAATTCGTGATCCATTTCACTTAGAACCCATGCATTACCAAAATGTTTACTGTTTGATTCCTCAATGCTCAGGAAAGTTTTTGTTTCAACGAAAAGGGGGGGTTCCTCCCCCCCCCGCCTTTTTTTTAAAGTAGTTTACATTTAACACTGTACTGTACTTGCTTTTTATTTGTGTGGTTGACTGGTTATTTCATAACTTTGGTGTTCATAACTGAGGTTCTACTGTAGAAGATCAGCATAGTTAGATCCAAGTCCGACTGGGGGGAAAATATCTTTTTATTTACAACATCGCTCCCCAGGTGTCCAACACTGAGTCAAGGAGTGCTTTGGGTCTGGTATAAGAGAGGCCATGGGGGAAAGGAATGTTACAGGTTTGATACCAAGGATACGTCTACACAGCAAAGAAAAATCTGTGGCTAGTCTGTGCCAGCTGGCTCAGGCGGTTTCCTTGCTGTGTAGGCTTCTGGGTTATGGGACCCTCCCATCCCGCAGGACCCATAGCCCAGGCTCCAGCCCAAGCCCGGAAGCCTACACAGCAAGGACACAGCTCCGCAGCCTGAGCCGGCTGGCATAGGCTAGCCATAGGGTTTTTTTTTTTTTTTTTGCTGTGCCGACATTCCCCCAAGAGATATAGGTAGGATGGGGGAGGATTAATTACAACTGGGAATCATCTAGCTACCCATTTGGTTTGTGGAATGGAGATTACGGGACTGGCTCAGAAAAGGGACCAGAAATGCTATGATCACCACATGCTTAAGGGTAAACATTTCTTCTAAGTCAGGATTTGTCTCATACACTGTCACTAACATACAAGGAAAGCTGCCAGGCTCCCCCACTTTGAAGTCTCCAAGTGGTCTGAGGTCAAGACGACTAGATAGGTAGTGTAATAAGAGACTCGTATGGTCAACTACTTTCTACACCAGTTTTAACATCAAATGGTCCTTGTTGCAACCCACATAATCCATGGCATCTGCAATACACTTAGTCATATCTTCAGGGAAGAAGGAGGACTTCATAAAGGCGAAATAATTTTAGAGGAGACCAATTAAAACTGTTGAGACATCCCTTGTCTCCCCACCCCCACAGCCATGTTAGTGGGGACGTATACTAAAGAAAACTATGCTTAACTTAAAATGTTCCACTCAAATTTTCATAGCGATTCTCACATTGGAATGAATTGAAAAAATTCATTTTTGCTACTCGCTGTGGTAAATGTGGAAGGGGTCAGCTCAACATTATGCTATTAATTTCTGCAGTATCTAAACCTTAATTTTAAAAAAGGTTTTAGCCACTGTGGTAAAGAAATCCTTCCAAACACCAACCAAGGAAGTTATTTGAGTTTAATGAGTCGGTGGGCAGATTATTCCAATGCCTCTGTTAATAGTTTTCCCAACCAGAAACTGATAAGGCTATCAGTTTCAAATCTGCTAAAATCAGAACCCTATGGACAACAATGAAACCAGAAAGAATTCTCAATTTCACCCGGCTGCTTCTTGGAAAAGAGGGAAGCACTTTGAAGAAATTGCCTTCTATGATATCCCCAGCTATTGAAGGCATCTGCCCTCTGATTAAGCCTGTCTGCAGGCTTGGATCCTTTTGGATTCCTCAATGTATTCAATACCCCAAAACCATTTTGACAAAAGAAGTCCACTTCCATCTACATCTGGCCAGAAGACCGTACTCCATCCTACTGAATGTAGGACTGCCCATGGTGATCCATGCATTTGGGACCTCCAAATTTGATTTCAACTTATTTCTAGAAATGAAGCCATATACACCTTGAAAAAGTTCCAAATGGTACAGGACACAGCAATCTGGTCATTATTAACACGCAGCCCTGGTGCTTCACTCTCTTCAATGGTACCCCATTAAATAAAAAAAGCAGATCAAGGTCCTTGTCTTCTTAGTTCCTCCTCACAGGACTAGCCTTAGTTACTCAAGAGATTGCCTCTCCCTTGACTAGGACAGCTACATTCCACTGGAACAAGAGGGGAAAAGGAAAGATCATATTTCTAAATACTTTTGAGGCTCTCTGATTCAACAGGACGTGTCTCATGTGATTACTTAGATGAGATGGAAGGGTAGAATAGCAGAGATTATTAGAACAGCCAGAGGAGGACACCCCCCACACAGCAAAGCAGTGAAAACCCCATATCCTTGCAGAAGTCAGGTGGTTCTAGGATATATGGGAGAAGACAGCTGCTTCTTTACAGAAGCCAAAAGGACAGCTGGGTGGGTTGGAGGGTAGTTTTAAATAAACTTATCAGACAGACACTTACTAGTCAGTGACAGAAAGACTCCTGAGCAAGGTTCAGGAATGGCATCTCAGAAGAACTCCAGCACCCTCTCCTTCACAAGTACTAGTATAAACAGATTTTTACCAGGACCTAACTGGTTTTCCTCCACCATGAACTTCCACCTCAGCCTCTGGCCTGGTAGGTGTTCAGTAAATTTTGTAAATCCCGACTATCAACATTGAAATAATCTTAAAAAACAGATAGGTATAATCCAAGTACCCAAGGTAGCTAGTTTCTTGTTTATGAAGATATCCTTTAAACAGATTTAACCCAGTATGCAATATTAGTGCAAGAAGACAGTTGCATATAATGGAACCTAGCAATTACTATCCTCCTTTTCCTTTCAAGAGAAGGAATCTAATAAACTGGAGCTATACTGGCCTTAGTATACCCAGGGGGGAGGAGAGGAGGGGAAAGAAGAGATGAAGTGAGCTGTAGCTCACGAAAGCTTATGCTCAAATAACTTTTGAAATGTTTCCCACAAACCACTTTCAGCATTTGCCAAATCAAATCTTAAATGCCTGCTTACTGAAAAGCATTATGCTTTTATGCTAATTGGTAACTGATACCTTAAAGATTTTTTTGGGGGTTTTTTTTTTAGACTCCTTTCTTTCCTCCCTGCCATTGAACCCCCTTCCCAAAGAATATTAGCAGAGACCTTGAAAAATCCACTCATCCATAGCAAATAGGAAGCTTTCCTGGCAAGTGCCATCAACTTCCACAGAATCTAACCTTTCATTTAAAAAAAAAAATTATATATTTATTTCTAATTCTTATAGTTTTAGAGAACCTTCCAAATGATAACTAAATGCAAGACAATGCAATGCTATTTTCCTATATCTGCAGAAAATAGTTCCAATACCCATCATGTTGCTCACAGTTTCACTCTGCTGCTCTGGGAAAGCTAAGAGGGATCACCTTTGCAGTTGCTATTCAGAACTCTTTGGGAAACAGTTTAACTGACAAGTATCAGGTCAATTTCATACTGCTGTAGCTCAGCAAAGCTGAGCAGAGGCAGACACTGAGGAAGTAGTCAAGCAGAAACTTGACAAGAAGCAAAGTAGTGGGCTGATGTGCCCCTGGGAGCTAAAAAACTGAGGAATCGTGTAAGATAGAGATCATTCCTCCATTACATAAGCAAAGAGCTTGAGGAAGGGGTAGAGCAGGACAGACCTTACCCACTTTCACAGCGAAAGACAGCTCTGGAGGGGATGGAGTGCAGAGGAAAAGGCCTCAGAAGAATGCTCCTTTCCAGCACCCCAAACAGGTTAGGCCAAGGAGGGGTGTGTAGTAGATTTGCTGAACTCCTCCTGACCGGGCGGGGCAGGGAAGCAGAGTACTGGAGCACTGTTCCTGGACAGTAGCCCTTTTCCTCCCTAACCCCATTGTCACCAGGGTCTAACTAGCCTTTAGTCCTCCAGACTGGTGTCCAGCAAAATTACAATCCAGGTGTTTAGGGATAGGGACAAATGTATTATTTGGATGAGTGGAAGAGTACTGTGGTGAACTTAAATGCAAGGAAATAGAAAGATTTGTCAGAAGAAAGAAGAAACTATGGGGAAGAGAGAACACAATCTAGGGAAAGATCAGGAAGAGCAAAAAAAACCCATAAAAGGAACAAGGAAAAAAGCTTGGAATGATGTCAAAATATGACAAAAGCAAGAAAGGGCATTTAAATATATATTTCATTTTTAAATGTAACCAGTTGTAATATACACATCAGGGCATATGGCTTTGGAGGCCATAGCCACAGGAGTAAGGCAGCATATATATTGTTCACTCTGGCTAACAGGTTTCAAGTAAATTTTTCTACTCTCTAAATTAACAAGTAAAAGGGCAATAGCAGAAACAGCACTGCACGCTTTGCCTCCCTTCTTCTTGGGGCATACTAGATAAAACATAACAGTCACCAGAAAAACTCTGGTCAGAGTGACATTCAGTCATATTAAAATGGTTAATGCTGCATTGTGTCAGTTATAGTGTCACTGTAGGTGGACATTCCCACTAAGATTTCCATGTAACCCAAATGGAGAAACACTTCCCTTATAAATAAACAGTAGTAACAGTACACAGATTCCACTCTGCTCCACAAATCACCTATTCAAAACTCCATTGGAGGCTGCTGCAGTGTCATTGTCAAGTGACAGACAACTATAGACTGGATTTGCTGTAATGCAGCCAACCTAAAAATGAACATTACTTCAGTGGAAAATGAAGCTATTGAACTGGTTATAGTATTGCACAGGACTTGCCTATGCAACAGCTGCTATTAAAAAACTTTACAATATCAATCTTATCTCAAGAAAATAAAAATATCCTATTCCTAGAAGGCAATAGCAAGAAGTTTAATGTAACAATTTCCTTTTTGAAGTACTAATGCCAGATTTCAAATACAAAGAGCAGATATACAGAGTTATTGGACCTCAACATTAAAATTTCTCTTTTCAAGAATTAGAGAAGGATTCTCAACTGCTCAAGGTTGAGTGAGCAATATATCACCAGAAGGAATTATTCCAATAATTAAGCTGTGGGAGACCCACACTATTCTAACACAGCAGGCACTGACTAGGAAACTGTTGAGTTTAGTACTCCTTCCTGAAGTCACTTAATTTTCCTGAAAAAGTTACATAACCTAATTATGCTGCACACAATAATGGCATCCTCTGCATTACTATGAAGGAATAAATGGGCCAAAATATGGAGCTGCCATATTGAAATTCACACAAGCTTCTAACAAAAGTAACAATACATACATTCTGTATTTAAAGCTTTAACACATAAATAGCATGGCACTGATCCTCAACATGCTATGTTCAAATACAGCTGTCAGACCAGTTACCAAAACATCAAATATGACTACAGCTATGACATTTAAGAGGCCCAAGCGTGCTATATAGCCCCTTTTGCCATCAGATGGATTAAATGTGTTGTTAAAGTAAAAATGTTATTAAAGTAAGTTTTAGTTAAGAGAATACTTTATCATTTCATTTTACAGTTTGTTACAAAATTAGATTTTGCTTTAAGATAAAGTTCTCTTAATATTAGTCCTTAAATATTGTGACATATATCCTAAGAGCTAAACATATACAGCTTGACAGTGATCATTAATACCCTGATCCTCCATATAGGCAGCGCATTGGGCTGACACAGAATCCCACTAAAGTCAATAAGGTCTGCCTATGAACAGCCCCATTAAAGGATCAGGGTGTAAGGTGGCTCCTGATAACCATTCAAGAGTATTTGAAAGTACAAATAATTTCTCCCTTCTCAGCGTTAAGTCTAAGGTCATAGAACAAGTAGTAATGGAGTAAAACTAAAACAAGAGCATTAAGATGATTCTGAAAGAAAACTTCCAGATAGTGAGATAGGGGTGAGTCATTGTTATGAAGCACTGTGCGCTCAACAGAAGCAAGACTGGTGACTCCAATATCGGAAGAACCAATGCCACCTCACCTCAGAGTGGGAGGAAGGCAGACACACCAGATCTAGGCCTTTAAGAGTGTGTGTGTTTGGAGGAATAAGACCGACCAGAAGAACCAGTATGAAGCGCAAAGAGCAGACTGCACCGACGGCTTCGTGGCATATCGGCGTCCCAGGCAGATTCACGTCTCATGGATACTACGCGGGTGCCAGGCTACCCTGGGGGTGGGCTATTCCTGCCATGCCACCTGCAGCGACTCAGGCTCTTCCCAGCAGCAGGCAATTGTGTTGGGAGACCCCGGGCATCGGCTGGCTCGAGGGTGACCAGATTGTCGGGACTGTCCCTATAAAATCGGGACAATCCCGACATTTGAGGCTTTTTCTTATATAGGCTCCTATTTTTCACGCTTGCTGTCTGGTCACCCTAGCCGGCTCCGTGCTCTGCTCGGGAACGCAGCAGGCGGCTAGCTGGGGGAGGCGCCCCACGCAGTCACCCGAACGGGTCTCCAGAATCGCTAGGCTCCCCGTCAGCCCAGCCTCCGGCCACTCCCAGGGGAACTCGCTCCTCCAGGACCCGCAAGGCAGGGGCCTCGCCCGCCCTGACCGGTGTCTAAAGGGGACGGGTACCGCCCCCTAGGCGCTCTCCGCCGCCCCCCGTACCTTCATGGGGTCGGCGAGGTAGAGCTTCTCGGCGGCACGGCTGAACTCCTCCCAGGTCTGGTAGTGCGGCATGGCGGGAACAGATCCTCCCGGCCGGCTCGGACTCGCTCTCACAGCTCAGCACTCCCTCCCTAGCGCACACGCAGCAAGATGGCGCGGGGGGTGGAGCGATGCTCTGTATCGCGCCTCTCTAATGGGTGGCAAAACAGACTGTCCAATCGCAAAGCACATTATTGAGAGGTCCCCTCCCCCGACAGCAGAAGTGCGGGCACGGGGAGGGTCTATCGGGCTTGTGGAGAGTAGCTGCTCCAGGCAGCCGTGTCACAGCGCCACTTGCAGGCCTGGCGGGATAGAACTACCCGGGCAGCCTCCTCCGCCCAAAGAGCCCCTCCCGCTTTGCCGCCTGTCGGGAGGCGAGCGCACTCATTGGCTACTGCTCCGCCCAGGCTGCCGATGGTTGTAACTCTGAGGCGTGAAGGCGGCTCCCGGAGTCGCTAGTTCTAATCTCAGGCTGGATCCCGCTGCGGGGCTCAGGTGTGTATCCCTCAGCCAGGCCTCCAGGCGGCTGTATTCTTGCGGGCCCCAGCCCGGGTGAGTGGCTGAGCAGGGGTCAGCTGCGGGGTGGGGCTCAGGCCCAGGGCGAGTGGCTTCAAGTCCCTGCCCTTGGGGAACTTTGTAGTCGTGGCTGCCTCTGTGGCTGCCCCAGTGGTCAGGAGACTATGTGAGAATCTGCCCTAGATCACATCAAACTGTCTTTTCTGTCCGCCTTCCTGCAGAAAAAAAATCTTGAAAATGTGAAGCCACTGCAGCCCGAGGGCTCAGAAACAGACCAAGTTTTGTTTTGTTTTGGGGGGATGCTTGGATCATAATTTTGAAACATTTACTGGTGTTGGCAATACTGGGCTGCTATGCAAGTTCATATGTCTTTGGACTCTATATCAGCTTAAAAGCCCATTGCCTCAGGTTTCTGGCTCAGATTTGAACCCTGGCCTTAAAGAAGCTAGGTTCTGCTCTGGGTGAATGATAACATGGGGTAAACAGGGAGGAAATCCCTGAGGGGATGATATTAAAAAAAGATATAGCCTCAAAGGAGAGAGGCCTTGCAGAAAGATAGTGAAGGAGCAAGGCTGCATGGAAATGAAACGATGCAGAGGGGGTGAGGGAGCGTGGGCTTGTGGGGAGTGAACATAAGAACAGCCATACTGGCTCAGATCAAAGGTCCATGTAGCCCAGTATCCTGTCTTCGGCCACAGTGGACAGTGCCAGGTGCACCAGAGGGAATGAACAGAACAGGTAATCATCCAGGTAATCGCCCATTCCCAGCTCCCCAGTGGGAGGATGAAGGGCTGTGAGAGAGAAAGGTCTATTGAGAACATGGGGCCACAAGAGAGCCAAATCTGGATTTAAACTTGTAGTAACTAGCAAACATGATCACAAAAGTTATGTAAACCCTGTGAAAGGGAAATGGATTTCTTTTAAAGTTGAAAGTATTTGAAGTTTTCCCAAGTTGGAAGACCTCTCATTAAGCTGGAACTTGGCTATGTGCAGAATAGAAACATCTTTAGTAAAAGAAAAAAAATCACTGGTTTCTCTGTTTAGCTCGGAAACACATCAGCCACAACAGACACTGTGTCTCAGGCTTAAACTGAAATTAAAGCTACTGATTTCAGCAAGAGACTACAGGTTATAGAATTATAGTGCTCCTAGGGACTCCTGTTTTTTTCTAAATTAATTTAACACTGATTAATTTTAATTTAAAAAAGAAAAGCAGGAACACTCATGCATGTTTTTCCCTGTTTAATTGTTTTAAAATTTATTTTTGCTTGGGCTTACTGATCTGTGATTGTTACCCATAATTGCAGAGGTAGAGTCCATGGCCAATCAGATTGCTCCCTTAGTCCTGCCCATGTTATAAAGCTCATCTAATTGCCCTTTTATAACAAACAAGCAAAAATAGCAGCGTTCTATTATCTGCCTTAGGGAGATATACTTAAAACCCAAAACTTCCAGATCTGAATCACAATGGAAGCTGTTGTTTCAGATTACTTATATTGAAATGAACAAACCTCAATGGCGTGGCCATATAAAGAACCAGAAAAGCAGCTAGCAATGCGGGTCTACAATATGAGAAGCCAAAAATTAAGCAGAGCAGCTCCAGACTCTACTAATAAAAGGAGGAAATGCTAGCTATGGTTTTGCTGACCAAAAAAGGAATGGGAGGAGGGGGCTTGCAAGGGAAAGAGTGGGAGACTTGGCAGGAGAGGAAGAAGTGAAGACTAAGGAGGTATATATTTCTCTGAGTCAGTAAACCAGATTAAAAGCTACAAAGAGTCCTGTGGCACTTTATAGACTAACAGACTTGCATCTGATGAAGTGGGTATTCACCCACGAAAGCTTATGCTCCAATATGTCTGTTACTCTATAAGGTGCCGTTGGACTCTTTGCCGCTTTTACAGATCCAGACTAACACAGCTACCCCTCTAAATCAGAGTAGCTGGTTGTTACTGTGGAGCTCAACTGTGGAAGAGCCTTCAGTAGTTGTGCTGCCACAAGTTAATAAATTGCTACTGTGAATATTATATATAGTATCAACAATCCTGGTGGAAAGGGGGGAGAGAGGGAGTATGCAGCAGTGAGTGACAGCAGAATCTTCAGCCTAATTTTTTAAAGGTGGCCAGACTTTTGCCTCATTTTTCAGGTACTCAACTTCAGACACCTTGGGTCTGACTCTCCGAGGTCCTGACCACCTCAACTCTTAATTGAATACAGTGGGTACATTGCTGGGGCCTAAGAGTGGCCTCAGCAGACTAGACAGTCCAGCCCAGATGGTCTGATTCTCTACTATCTTGCATCTTGTATAGTCCTTGACAGCTCTGCAAAGTGGGTGTAAAAATGCTACCATTTTGATTTGGTAGTGTTTTATGCCCACTGAAAGAGGTGGTAATCTTTACACAAGGTGTAAGGCAGTAGAAAATAAGGCCAAAAATATGTAACATTCTGCAGTTTAACTGCCCACCAGATTTAGGCCAAAAGTTTCAAAAGTGGCCCTTGATTCTGTGAACCTCAATTTTTGGGTGCCCGGTGTGCATCACTTTAGGTCTAATTTTCTGAGGTGAAGTCAACGGAACCTCTAAGTGCTCAGTTCCTCTGAAAATCAGGCTCAATTATTTGGTACCTAAAATCAGAGGTTATTTTTAAAAAATTGAGCCTTAGTGAATGACCTGTTCCAGGTATGTAATCTGCCACTTCACAGTGTTGTTTTAAACTTGTTTGGAGGCCGGACTATTTTCTTGCTGTGTTTGAAACATAGTCATAACTTTGAGCTTGATAGTTATTTATTTATAAATTATATTTTTGAATATGTCCAAAACTCCCCAAGTAATCTCCAGTGAGTATAGTGATAGATATGAATCCTAGAAATTTTTCAGTAGGCTGTCTGTCTAGTGAAAGTTATGTATACTGAACATTCATGTCTGTTGAGCCAATAATATTTGAGTACTTGGGAATAAAAAAGCAGCTCTTTTTAAACATAAAACAAAGGTATTGAACTTCTTCCTTTTCTTTTTTGGGCTCCTTTCTTGAATTGTGTTCTCGTGTACTTTCCATTTGAGAACTTATTCTGCTGACTATGACTCTTCCATCACAGTTAGGAAGTTGTATATAATATGCAGCCTCGGCTTTCTTTTCTCAGTCTCATTTAATGTATTCTAGCTATAGTCTCCTATACCACCTCAGATAATGCCTTTCCTTCCTGGGATTTTGTGCCATAAGAAACTGTGAAGAAATAACATAAGCATTGGTATAGCGGAGTGGATCTCACATGTGCTTTTCCCTCAGGCCTTCTCCTTTCATCTAACCTGCATGTGCATGATTAACAATGTCTCTTAGAGCAAGCTTCTACATGCATTGCCGCTGCAAGTTCGGCTCTGTATAGTTATATTTCTGTATCTGAATTCCACATGGTGCATTCTTTGTTTTATGTCTACCACCTTCCTTGTCATAAGTAAAATGTTGAAAAAAGAGTAGAAAAAAACCTTATATCATCACATTTTAGGGTTTGAGTCTCAGAGATGCTGAGCTCCCACAGCCCCTACTGACTTTAATGGGAGTTACAGATACTCAGCATCTCTCAGGATAAGGCATTTGTTTTCCTGTTTTTCATATTTTATGCTTTTGTCTAGACTAAGAAGCAGGTACCATGATTCCATGTGCAAATATATTTTTCATTCCTGGATAGAGTCCACATGCTTAATTTCTAGAGCTTTGGGGTAGAACTTAATGCTCTTTTCTGTCATTGCAAAAAGACTGCTGCTAGGCCAAGCAGGCTCTTCATTGTATGCTATGTTGTTAAATTATGGATGTGAATAGAAACAATAGGACAAACTCTGCTCTTAGTGACACTGTTGTAAATACAGTCGCTATTTTGTGCATATAATGTTGTAACTTAGAGCAGAATTTGGTCTAGCATGGTTGATCTCACATCAGGAGTAACGTGAAGTCCCTGAAGTTATCTGGGTATAAAAGAGCAGAGAGACTAGAATCAGGCCCAGTGACTTGGGACACCTATAGTAGAATGAGGCGCTACTAAGGAAGTTAGAATAAGATGATTATTACAGCCTAGAAACTAGTTCATGTTTAAAGTTGACATTTTAACTTTTGTTCATAGGAGGTCCAGTCCTGCTCCCATTGAAGTTAATGGCAAAACTCCTGTTAATTTCAATGAGAGCAAATTGGGCTTGGTGAGATCTCTGTCATAGCAGCCAGTGACCATCCCTTCTGTTCATTTGTGTATACTGTAATGCACCATGGGCTTGAACTGATCTAAATATCAGTCTGGCAAGGCAAGATTTTCAAGGTATTTAGGTGCCTAAAGATGCAGCTGAGCACCTACTGGGATTTTTGAAGTGTCTAAGCATGTTAGGTGGCTAACCTGCTTAGACACTTTTGAAAATCTCAAAAGACATCTATGAACTTTTAGGCACCTAAATACCTTTGAAAATCTGGCCCACAATCACAAGCAACCCAAGCTCTGTGGTGGTTTATAACATGGACAACCAAGCCGTAATTCCTTTATTGCACTGCTCCTGAAGGAACACAGGTATGTGCTGCGCCTTTCTGTGGCTGTGTCCTTGAATCACAGTCTTAGTCTGAGCAATTACTAAATA